TGTATACCGTCTTACATGTGTACCAGGTAAAGTCCTGGGAAGTGAAGGCGGCCGGCATGATGTTGACCACATCATCGCCTGAAGCTGATTGGTCCATAAAATACATGTCTAGCACTATTTGCCTGAAGGTGTGGAAAAAGGTCCTTTACTTAGTTTTTATTTTATTTCTATCACAAGAGAGTGCTTCCTGAAAGCAATACTGCTTACCAACAACAGATCAAAAACAATCAGAAGACCATCTTCAGAAACAATGAATGAATAAAGACAATAATCATTTACAGTGTAAATCATGAACTTTGTAAATTAGTAATACTGGAAGCCCTTTTTAAACATGGCAGTAAATTTAAATAAATAAACAGAATAACGTATCCCTGTACACTAGAAAAAATATTTTATCGTTTATAACAAATGTCTTTGGCAATTAAGTTGCTCAAATGGTGAAGTGATAAAGTTCTTGACGGCCTGTAAAGAGCGAAAGGCATGAGATTAAGCAGGACATGGAGATGCCTTGGGTGAGCCCAGTACCAGAGTACCATATATTGAAAGCCCCCTGGATGGAGGGAAACACCCATGTTCTGTCCCTTCCTTCCCTCGAGGGCTGATAGGTCTGCATGCACCTGTCCTCCAAGTCCTCCGGAAAATGCTTGTGGAGCTACTACACAAATGGGGCTGTAAAATTTTCCTCAGTGGGCCAAGAAACTAACCTAGAAAACAGGTTTCTGAAAAAGCTAGATGTTTTGGCCAAATGGCTTAAATAGCTATACTGTAAACAGGCAACATGTATTCAAGTCACATGGACCACTGAAAAAGAAGATGAAGTTGTTAATTCATACCTGATTCTTTGTTTAATGTACAATTTTCTGAAATGATCCTGAAGTGTCCGTGACAGTCTTATTTAATAGATACAGGAGCAACATGTATTCAAGTCACATGGACCACTGAAAAAGAAGATGAAGTTGTTAATTCATACCTGATTCTTTGTTTAATGTACAATTTTCTGAAATGATCCTGAAGTGTCCGTGACAGTCTTATTTAATAGATACAGGAGAATTCTGACCTGCCTATTCAATGTACTGAACGTAAAATGCTGGATTTTGTTCTACAACGTCCTGTAAAGGATACGCAACTAACTTAACTATTCAATGTTCAGAGTAATTCTGACCCCATTCAACGTGCAGGAAAACTGAACCCATTCAATATGGAGGAGAATTCTTACCTATTCAATATGCAGGAGAATTCTGATTCATTCAATCTGTAAGAGATTTATGACCCATTTAATGTGTTGGAAAGTTCTGAGCCATTTAATGTGTAGAAGAATTATGACCTATTCTGTGTGCAGGAGAATTCTGACCTTTTAAATGTGCAGGATAATTCCAACCTCTTAAATGTGCAGGAGAATTGTGACTTATTTAGTGTGCAGGAGAATTCCGACCTTTTTGATGTGTAGAAGAATTATGACCTATTCTGTGTGCAGAAGAATTATGATCTTTTAAATTTGCAGGATAATTCCAACCTCTTAAATGTACATGAGAACTGTGACCTATTTAGTGTGCAGGAGAATTCCGATCTATTTGATGTGTAGAAGACTTCTGACCTATTCTGTTTGCTGGAGAATTCTGACCTATTTAATGTGCAGGAGAATTCTGACCTATTTAGTGATGGCAAAAGACAGAAGGGATTGGTGGCTTAAGGCCTATATCCTATACAGGATGACAGGCAACACAAGAAAGATGAGAAGTAGTAGGAGATTTTCAAAACAACTCAAAACATGCATAAACAACTTGAACAACAAAAAATGCCCTGGTTTATGAATACTCTGATGACTAAATTGAATTATTGTTGATATAATACCGGTTATAAATAACCTACATTACAGACATCCCTGAATCAACCATATATCAGACATCTCAGAATCAACCATGAAACAGACATCCCTGAATCAACCATATATCAGACATCCCTGAATCAACCATATATCAGACATCTCAGAATCAACCATGAAACAGACATTCAAGAATCAGCCACATAACACTTACAATAAAAAAATCAGTCCTGTATCAATAACAGACATTCAATCAACCATACTGCAGACATTCAAGAATTAAGCACATAACACTAACAGACAATCAAAAATCAGTCCCGTATCAATAACAGACATTCAATCAACCATACTGCAGACATTCAAGAAAAAAGCTGAAGAGAACTCCTGAAAGTGGACAGTGCTGCTATGACATGTCAAGAATCTGATAACATTTGTCTTTCCCTAGGCTCCACTTGTGTGAGTCTTGGACTGCTGGCCCAGTAAGCCAACAGCCTACACACGTTTAAGGCATACAGCAGCCACAAGAAGTGCCAACACAAACAGTCCGCAACTAGAAATGCAGCTCATTGTCGATGCATGTAGCAGTTACAAGAAATCTGTAATTACACATGCAATACTGCATAAGGCATCACCAGTTCCATGGCAACATGCCACCTGCCAATTTCTGAATCTGCAGTTCTCAACACAAACCCCTCTCTGTGTGCATATCTGTTTTAGAGATCTAGCTTATATGTATGCAAACTGTTGGTTCCTTGCTTCTCAGGTAGACGCACTTTGATTCAGAAGAAAAAGCCCCTAATTAGTCTATGATTACAACAAGAGTCGGCATCTGTGGCTTAGGTGTTGTGAATGGGCTTCGTAATGCTGGGGTGCTGAGTTCGATCCCGGCTGTGGACAATTTGTCTTGCGTTGGTTTCGACAGTGGTACCGAGAGCTGACCATTCAGTAAGCTATAGCAAACTACTGAACGTAAAATCTGCCTAGAAAAACCACAACAGCTAAAAAATGCTGAAGTGGGTTCGACAACGTCCTGTAAAGGATACAGAGCTAACTAACTTTTTAACATTACGATAAGCTTTTTTAGGAGGCAGTAGGTCTAATCTTCCACAATGGGACCCTGGAACCCATACGTTCAATGACAGATGTGGTTAACATCATACTGATCACCTTTACTGCCCAGGAAATTTCACCATGGTATTTTAGAATGGGTTGACAAGGGAGAGTAGGTCAATTTAAATAAAAATACATCCCTGCCTTGATAGGGATTGAAACATACGACTACAGGGTTGGCAGACAAACAACATGCTAGCCACTGCACCATCCCTGCCTTGATAGGGATTGAAACATACGACTACAGAGTTGGCAGACAAACAACATGCTAGCCACTGCACCATCCCTGCCTTGATAGGGATTGAAACATACGACTACAGGGTTGGCAGACAAACAACATGCTAGCCACAGCAGCATCTCTGATTCCACTGACCTCAACCTGTGTTTAGACAACTATACAGTGTGCTCAGACAACTATACAGTGTGCTCAGACAACTATACAGTGTGCTCAGACAACTATACAGTGTGCTCAGACAACTATACAGTGTGCTCAGGCAACTATACAGTGTGCTCAGGCAACTATACAGTGTGCTCAGGCAACTATACAGTGTGCTCAGACAACTATACAGTGTGCTCAGACAACTATACAGTGTGCTCAGACAACTATACAGTGTGCTCAGACAACTATACAGTGTGCTCAGACAACTATACAGTGTGCTCAGACAACTATACAGTGTGCTCAGACAACTATACAGTGTGCTCAGACAACTATACAGTGTGCTCAGACAACTATACAGTGTACTCAGGCAACTATACAGTATGCTCAGACAACTATACAGTGTGCTCAGACAACTATACAGTGTGCTCAGACAACTATACAGTGTGCTCAGACAACTATACAGTGTGCTCAGACAACTATACAGTGTACTCAGACAACTATACAGTGTACTCAGACAACTATACAGTGTGCTCAGACAACTATACAGTGTGCTCAGACAACTATACAGTGTGCTCAGACAACTATACAGTGTGCTCAGACAACTATACAGTGTGCTCAGACAACTATACAGTGTGCTCAGACAACTATACAGTGTACTCAGACAACTATACAGTGTACTCAGACAACTATACAGTGTACTCAGACAACTATACAGTGTACTCATACAACTATACAGTGTGCTCAGACAACTATACAGTGTACTCAGACAACTATACAGTGTACTCAGACAACTATACAGTGTGCTCATTAGTAGTAGTAGTAGTAGGTTTTACTCCACTAGGACATCACACAAGCAATAAACACCTGATGACACAAAGTGCCACCATGTGGATGAGGATCACCCGTGGATGAGGATCACTCGTGGAGAGGTCCCAGAAACCGCGTTAAGCCATTAGACCATATTTATGGCCGAGCTATATTGCGGCCCCTGGCAAGAGCCACAGGTGGGGCTTCAAAATAAAGAAAAATTGCATCTCACAAGGAGATGACTAGATTAAGTGTGCTCAAGAAGACAATGAAAAGATATCATAGTTGCGTACTTTATAAATATGTATTAATACATTTAAATAGAGTAAATTGTATCTGGGGTAACAAAACTATTTACGGGGTAACAATCAGTAAAAGGCATCCACTCAAGCAAATACCCCCCCCCCTCCCTTTTTTTCCCCCTGCCAGCCTAAAAATTAAAAGCACTCCAACATAAATATACTACATAACTTTAAGGCATCAATGCACACTGGGACATAAACATAACTTCATCAATCCACATTGCCACAGACTACACAGCTACAAGGCATAAATCCAGAGACTACACATTCAGGCATCAATCCACACAATACACAACCTCAAGTCATCAAACCCCCGCTGCCACATACAACACAACCTCATCAACCCCCACTGCCACATACAACACAACCTCATCAACCCCCACTGCCACAAACAACACAACCTCATCAACCCCCACTGCCACATACAACACAACCTCATCAACCCCCACTGCCACATACAACACAACCTCATCAACCCCCCACTGCCACATGCAACACAACCTCACCAACCCCCACTGCCACATACAGCACAACCTCATCAACCCCCACTGCCACATACTACCACGGAAAGCTACAAGTACTAGCTTTTGTGTGTTAAAGCTTCTTCTGCCAGTTTTTTCAAATTGGGAACACCTTTGATGACAAAGTCCAGCAATTCCTGACCCATGGCTTTACCCTGAAAACAAAATTGTAAACAAATATAATTAATAACAATAGTTAGTTAGCTAATCAAAAGAGTATCCTCACTGCATATCGGGCAAGTCCTTAAGCGCTCGGATCCCATCATCATCATCATCATCAAGTGCCTTGCCAACTGGCGTAGGCATTCATGCGTCTCCAGAGATCTCGGATTTCTCTCGGTCTGCCTCTGCCTCTTCTACCAGTGATCTTTCCAGTCGGCATAATAACAACACTACAAAATAACAAGCCTGATCAGTTTCTATCCACTTTAGATTCTGTGGTACAGATCTCATTATCCAGACTTGTTTGGCATGCAATGATGACAGAATCTGATAATTAATAACACAAATCTATAAGCATTTTTCTGCCTTTTATCCCTCAGTGGGGCACATGTGTTCAACACACTAGCCCCAAATCGTCTCAGTCTTAGTCGGCATGTACGTACAGCTCCCTCCATTTCTCCTCCATCTTATTCAACTTCATTAATTCTATTCTCTGTTTATGTGTTGTTTTTCTCCAGGATATGCACAATGCACAGAAAACAAATGTATAGCAAAAGCAGACGTATGCTGTTATCCATAAAAGGCATCAGATATCAAAGAGTGAATGAATGACCAAGAAGATATTTTGCAAGCAATATTATTGGAAGCACAGACCAGCATAACAGTCAATGAAGCAGCTGGTGAAGTTGAAGATGCAAGTTTCAGCATAAACAAACTCAACAGGAAAGAACAAACAACAATTTTTAGACTTCAGACAGGACACTGTGGTTTTCTAGCACACCTGTACAGGATAGGCATAAAAGAATCTGCTGCTTGTGATTGTGGAGCAGAAAGACAGACCCCTGGGCACATACTACAGTACTGCCTTAACCTCTCCCAGCAAAGACTGTGGATCTGGCCCAAATGAACAACATTGCAAGAGAAGCTATAGGGGATCGGTGGCGACCTTAAACGCACAATCCTTTTTGTGACCCAGGCGGGACTCAATGTTTAGCATGACTGATGTCGAACGTAGAAGAAGAAGAAAAAGAAGAAGTAAAAGATTATGACAGAGACATTGCAGAGACTCCTAAGGAAGAGGCCATCAAGCATCTAATAATGCTGCTGAAGTCATGTGCTACAAAAAATGGACCAAGTATCCTGAGTGATGTAGCCAGTAATGATAGTGCTTTCTCCACATCAACTGGCTTTCTCCGAAGTCAGTCTACATCTGCCTGAGAGGCAAAGAACCAACAATCTGCATGCAAATAAGCTAGATCTGTAAAATGGGGTGTGCAAGCTAGACTGCTGAAGTCCAGAGGTAGATGAACAACCAGAACTTTCTGCCAGAGTTTAGCCGGTGAACTCAAAGAAGATGATAAAGAAATTGCATCCATTCAGCAACAAGTGTACAATATTCACCTGAGGATCACTACGAAGTGATGCAATACCTCCACCTCCTAAAGAGTTCCTCAACACAAAGTTCAAAGCCTCAATGCCAGGCACATCAAATCTGTTGAGTAAATAAAGAACGGTTTAAAACAGGGACCACTCAGAGGGCAAGAGTTCCAAAACATGAGGGAAATACTGGACCTTTAGGTCAGTGGTCTTCAACCTGGGGATCATGCCCCCTTTAGGAAAGGGCAGAAGATTTCAAGGTGGGTGTCAGAAATTGTGAAACTGAGTTCACTTATATTGGTAATAATCTGTCATACAAAGATTTGTAGTTTAATCATAAATAAATATTTTTAACTCTTGGAGTCCCAGGGGGTTTGGCATCACAGGCCCGAGGGGTAGTCAAGAAAGACGTAAAATCGGCGCATCTTGCGTTCATTGGGATTCTAGGTAAGAACCTATGAACATATGACACGTTCCTTGGGACGCAAAGAGTTAATACTATAAAACAAAAATGCTTTGCCAGCTTTATGTAGAGAGTGACCTCCCTTGTGCCTTGTCCAACACTGGACCAAACATTGCAGATTTCATCAAGACAAAACAGTCTCAACCATCACACTGATATTTGTACACTAAATTACTGGTTGTTTGGTCATTTCTTTTTTTTGTTGGTTTTTTGTGTGTGTGTTATCTGACACTTTCATTCATGTCTAGTTTGAGCATGCAGGTGGAGGCAGTCACTGCTGCATTCTGCTGGCTTGAGAATAAGCTGTACACACATGCCGTGATTGTAACTGACTCGTAGAGCATGTTGAGAAAGGTGGAAACAGATATGTTCCATGCAGAGTGGCAAGCCTCACTTCAGAAGTCCCGGGTAGTTAACATCCTTTGGATATTTTCTCCAGGTCATGCCGGTGTGTTGGGAAATGAGCAGACAGATAGACTGGCCAGCTCTGCACCATTTGGTGGTGAACGGATGTATGATAAACTAGATGTTGTGAGGGCCCTCTGGGAGCAGTGCGGAAGGACAAACAGATCATTACTGTCTGAGGAGAATGGAACTGCGGGGAGTTACCAGGGGATCTGGCTGACGCTCAACACTAAGAGGAAAGGCTAGACGGATATACAATCAGACAGTTACTGTTGTCATCGGAACTCTTCATTTGCTGCTGAAGATGGGGGACAGAGCGCTTAAGGAAGTGTCCCAAGTGCCTTGATGTTGATTCTTAATTCAACATTTAAGTGGATGTACTTCTCCAAATTCTTGTTAACAGTGTTTGGGATTTTTCTTTTTGTACCTTTTTTAATCACAGTTTGTTATGGGAGAGGAAGGGGGAGACATTGAGGTCTTGCAATATACCCAATAAAGGTTGTCGGGGCAAAGACCACCGCTTCAGATCACAGAGCAAAACCGTTAGTTTTTACTAAAATAGTTGTATTTTTTTTTTAAAAAGAGTGTTCACTAATGTAGTTAATTTTTTGGGGGTGGTTGGGGGGGGGGGGGGGGGGGGGGGGGGGGGGGGGGGGGGGGGGGGGTGGGGGGGGGGGGGGGGGGGCTCAAGAATTCAGCATTTCTTTAATTCTATAAAACATTTTAGTTCATTGTTTAAAAAAAAAAGTAAAGGACCCTTTTCCACGCCTTTAGGCGTATAGGGCATATAGGGCTAGACCTATATTTTATAGACCAAAGGCACAAAACGGGTGATGTGGAGTTCATTGTTTTATTTCCCATTACTTCCCCATGTGAGTTCCGCGACACCTTTGTCGAGAAAGGGAGGGGGGGGGGGGGAAGGGGTGGGGAAAACAGTGCTACATGTGACTTACCTCTGAACTTTACTCTTTGTAGTCCCTTCAATGTTATCCTTAAAATAATGTTCAAAGAACGCCTCCACAGCTTCCGCTGTCAGTTGTTTTCGGATAAATGGAAGGTAGGCAGGATGCCGTGCTATCACACCTAGAACAGACAAACAGACCTCCAAGTGAAACTGTTGATAGGTTTTCCTTTCACGTCTGCTTAAACAAATTATTACTGAAGCATAAGATCCTTTTTCACACCATAAAAATGTCTGCAGTTAATTCTTCATCGTGTCCACCGACTGTAAATCCGGCTAAAAGTTCTGATTGTCTGTCCACCTAGGGACTTTATTCTTGTTACCAAACTTGAGTTTTTCATGCATGCATCTCCGTTTTACCGCCCACCTGTATGCAGACTGTTGGTTCCTCCTCTCTCAGGCAGATACACTCTGACTTTAAAGAAAACACACCTAATTGGACATTTTTTACAACATACTTGTGGGGGGCAGTTGGTCTACTCCTTTTCCTCCAAAATGGGCCCTGGAACCCACACGGGAAATCTAGTAATTGGTGCAAGCTGCAAATTTTTACAGATTCATCAACACTTGGCCGTCTCGTTAGAATGCAGCAAGATCAAATACCATCACAGGCACTACATCTCAGAAGATCAACTACAAGAGCAAGAGGACGGCCGTGGAAAATTCAGATCAACAACATTAAAGACACCCTACACCTTCACGGCATGACAACAACCAGTGGCAGCCAGCGTACACTGGATAACAAATTTTTCCTGCCCATGGATCTAAACGGCAGATGTGGTTTATGATGATAATGGGGATGATTAACACTTGATTGGTGATGTGGTTAAAATCCCACTAGCTGCCTTTATATCCTGGTATATTTCCTCATTTCACTGTGCAATTTTTCGACTATTTCATGCTGAAAGCCTAGGTGAATTTTTTTTTTTTAAATCAGCGTCTCAGCGGGTACCTTTCCTTCTTCTTCTCCTTCAGAAATCTCTGGTCATGCAATTAATCCACAATGGGTCATAAACTCATCTCATCTGAAGGTGTCTTAAGTTTCCTCAAAGCTTAGCTGTAGGTCTACTGAGTGTGGCCACATGTTTCTTCACAGCTCCTCCAAGAGAAGACAGTCTTGCAAGACATGTTCTTGGGTCTGTTGTTCAGCATGAAGACATTGGCAGAAAGCTGTCTGGCTCATACCTTATTTATATGAATGTTTGTTGAGTCTGCAGTGTCCACCACAAGTGACAAACTGTGACTTGGTCTGTTTTCTTCAGATCACTGAGGAAATCTTTTTCACGGTTATAACCAGTGTTTGTTTTCCAATTGCTTTCAGAATTCCTCTTTATAGATAGATTGTTTACTCAAAACACATTTTAATCTTAATGACCTCTAACCTATATTACAGTCGTTTCCTTTGTCTCCTGATCGCGTATAGGCCAGTTCCTCTAACCGATAAGAGAACTCTCCTGAAGGGAGTTCGATATCTCTGCACTGTTTGTTCTCTCCATTGCCATTGCTATCGCTGGCAGGATACGCTTGGGTCAGGTACTCGGCTGTAGGAACACTGGCTGGTTTGTACTCGAGTGTTTCTCCGTTCATTTCTATTGTTATCTGCAGCAAATAAAAAGGAAGACTCACATTTAGCACAGCTTTACAGATGCAGCTATGTAATAATGGAAGGTACAGATAATTGACACACTTATTGTGAAGATTATATTATTCTGCTGTTGACTTTGATATTCATAAAATTGTGGAAATAATGTACTGCACACTGTGAAAATGGCTTCCAGGTTGACCCAGCCTTAAAGGGTACTGGGTAACATCCTATGAAGTAAAGGTGACCACATCACCCATCGAGTGTTGATTGGTCTGTAAAATATAGGTCTAGCCCTATATGCCCAGTAGGCATGGAAGCATGGAAAACGGTCTTTAACTTTCTTTACTTTAAACTCTGAAACATTACCTTTTTGTAAAAATAACACACTCTAGGCCTGATCATTGTTAACCCTTTCGCTGCTACGTTCCCGGAAAAAGTTGTCCTCCCTGTGCTAAGCAATGTGAAAAAAAAAGTCTCTGCTGTGCGCAATACTTTTCTATCCTCTAAACGCAAAAGATGTGTCCGCGGTGAGGGCTATGTTTTGTTCACCTAAAAAATTTTACCCCGGGGAGTTGTGTGGTTGGTCCGAGTGGTGACAAGTCAGAGGCACGATGGTGCCCCACAAACTTGACTAACGGAGCTATCACCCTTCTGGAGAGGGACAGGGGGGCCGGGGTTAATGGGAAGAACTGTTCCCAGTCCGTATCCCAAAATTTGATTGCCGAACCTACCACGGCTGCCACTTTAATCATATTTACTTGTAGTCACCATGTTATTACATACCAAAATAATTAAAAAAAAATATTCATAATAATATACTCAAGTCGTCCGTTGCTGAAAAGTAGCAGGAACTCAAAGGAAAATTTACAATTAATATAAAAAAAAAAAAAAAAAAAAACTTCGGGGGTTGAACACACGACCCTCCGATTCTAAGGCGAACGTGATACCAATTACACTATGCTACCGCTTGACGCATTGCGCTGTGTAAATGATCACAATGAACGATATGCGCAGACTATCAATAATGTGTCTAAGTTTGTAGTCTATCGCCGCCTGCATGAGCACTGTTGTCTAATAAATGTTTGAGATTCTCAACAATAGTAAAAATATGTCCCTCGACATTATTTTACGGGAATTTTTCGCAAACAGTTTTTGCTCAAGTACTCTATTTTGAGTTTCTTTGTTCTAAGCAATAGCAGACAGACAGACAAAAAAATTAGTTCGTCCGAATCTGTGTCTGTCCATCGGGAAAGACGAGAAATTTTAGTGACTTAACTGTTTGAATTTACAGTAGCAGAAATACAGATAGAGCTGGAGTCATCAAAATCATGCACTACTGGTTTCAAATCATCGGTTCATCAAGATAACTGATCAATTTATTGCCGTTTTGATGGCGCTTCATTGTCGCTGATATCTGATTCCGACGATGAGGACGTCGGACAGGCAAACAGCTTTTTTTGGACACGCCGGTTTCAGCAGTCGATATTGATGGCCTAGTCAAATCTTCTTGTTCACTGTCAGAAGTACACATTTCAAAGTCATCGTCGCTATCACTTTTGACAGAAACCCCATCAATTCTTCATCAACTTTAACAAGTTTTCTTGCCATTTTGTACTAAGTGTAGAATAATCTAAAAGCACAAATATATATCAGGGCACAAAATACACAGATCACCGACCACGCTGTCACGGTAAACAAAGCAACGGGATAACGCAAAATGCAGTAAACACACCTTAAACACGCCTAAAAGTACGTGCAAGTGCTTTTAATCATATGTAAATGGGTCAGTTTTATCTAAATATAGCTAATGTATATTGCCCTTCAGTCAATAAAATACGAGGTAACAGAAATCTGTAAGAAAAGTCCAAAAACGGCTTAGGACGTCCATAGCACTGGGGGTCAAGAAAAAAAATAACGTCCAAAGATGGGCGTAGCAGCGTACGGGAAATCGGGAAAAGACGTCCATAGCAGCGAAAGGGTTACAAATTTGTATTGATAAAACAGGATGCAGAGCTGTTGAACCACACATGGTTGTGTTGAACCACACTTGGTTGTGTTGAACCACATGTGGTGCTGTCAAACTACACGTGGTGGTGTTGAACCACATGTGGTGGTGTTGAACCACACGTGGTGGCGCTGAACCACACGTGGTGGTGTTGAACCACACGTGGTGGTGTTGAGCGCCATGTGGTGGCGCTGAACCACATGTGGTGGTGCTGAACCACACGTGGTGGTGTTGAACCACACGTGGTGGCGCTGAACCACACGTGGTGGTGTTGAACCACACTTGGTGGTGTTGAGCTCCATGTGGTGGCGCTGAACCACATGTGGTGGTGCTGAACCACACGTGATGGTGCTGAACCACACATGATGGTGTTGAACCACACGTGGTGGCGCTGAACCACACGTGGTGGTGTTGAGCTCCATGTGGTGGCGCTGAACCACATGTGGTGGTGCTGAACCACACGTGATGGTGCTGAACCACACATGGTGGTGTTGAATCACACGTGGTGAAGCAAGAAGACCAGAGTTCATACTGGTCAAGTCCAACTCTCCATGGTCATCCCAGAAACTGGTTCCCAACCAAAAAGCTATCCAACATAGGTAGGATACACATTTTCTTTGAAGTTGCAGTGCATCTGCCTGTGAGGCAAGGAACCAACAGTCTGCGCATAAATTAGCCAGATCTGCAAAATGAATTTGCACATGAAACTCTAGTCCTGTAATAAGACAAAAATTCAAGAAATTGATGAACTTCCACGACTTTCTGCTGAAGTCTACAGCCAGTGTAAAAAGAAGAAGATGTACAGGTGAAAAAAAAATAAAAAAATAAAGTAGCTATAAATGAAATTAAAAAAAAAATTATGTGAGACCAACCTTGAAGTTGTGTTTTGGATGAAGAAAACAAAACAGCTTGAGCACTGGAGACCTGGAAATAAAGAAGTTTAAAAAAAAAAAAACTGAGAAATCAGAAAACATAAAACTATAATTTTGTTGTAATAGTATACAATATTAATCTTCCCTTTACAACTATGTACAGGATTCATATAGTGAAACCACATGTAACAAATGACACCAACAAAGCACTATTCAATATAGTATTCTTACCAACATTGGGTTAACAGTGCCAAACATGGACATTAACAACAGAAAAACAAAAACAGAAAACCTGAAATGAAATATCTATGATAAATCTTAAATGTGACTAGAAGAGACAGGATCAGAAATTAAGATATCATAAAAGAAGCTGGGATGGAACCACTACTAAACTACATCAATAGACAACAGATCAAATGGTTTGGACATGTGTTAAGATTACCACAAGATAGTTCCTAAAGGACAGCTCTGTCATTTAGACATAGTGGAAGCAGTTCTAGAGGTCGACCATACAAGTGATGGATAGATGGAATATCCATATATATATATATATATATATATATATATATATATATATGTTTAAAAAAGAAAAAAGGGGAGGGGGGGGAGACCAATATAAAAAAAAGAGTAATTTTGTACCTACATTTTTACATAATGAAGTAGCAAGTAAAAAACCATTCACATGCCTTGAGGTATATTGTTAATAGTGCTAGTTTATATTTTAATAAACCAAGTGACACTCAACACATCCTTTTGTAAAGAACCTTTTTCATGCCAGTGGCATATCAAGCATATGATGCCAGACATATTTTTATAGACCATTCGGCATTCAGTGAGCGATGTGATCAACATCCCGCTGGCCGCCTTTACTTCCCAAGTACTCATTTTCGGCTATGTCCACATGGGAGCCAATGTAATTTTGTTCTGATCAAAATCTGACTCAATGCTGATTATTCGGACCGCAGATCTTTGAGCCAACAGGGAGAATTTAGCAACAACCCCCCCCCCCTTCTTGCCCCATCCTAATGAAATTAATATATTTAAAAAAACATAATTTACATAAAATTATTATTAGTTTTCTTACACTTTTGGTCTGCCGCCAATAGTTGAACACAATCCAGGAGCTGAAAACATAGATCTGTTATTAAAACTTGTGTAATTCTGTATGTCTCTAATATTCAATATTAACTATTTTCACACTCTTATCGACATTCTAGAAGTTTAGAATACTGCAATGAAACAAGTGACTGAATTTTCAAAAAAAATCCTTTGAAAACAACTATTTTAATATGATCACTAATAAATTTTTTGTTTAATATATTTACATATATTTTTAATTTTTTTTTCTAAAACTTATATAAAGATATACAAAAGGAGTAATAAAAAAAAAAACATGAACAGAGTGAAGCATTAAATGGAATACAACTCCCTGCGCCTAAAAATATAAGTATCAGGTGAGCTATGCTGTAATCCCATGAAGTCCATCACTGAGGCTTTTTGGAAATTAGATGTCAACTTAGCTTTAAAAAAAAAAAAATTTGAACGAGAACCCTATAAATGCTATATTTAGTTAAAATATTCACCTCCTGATCTCAAAAATGTTTGTGCAGCCATGAACACAGCCATGAACACAGCCACGAACACAGCCAACAGCATTAACTAGGTGTCTTGTAAACAGGTCACTTTAGACAATTTTGAAAAGTGAATTTTATGAGGAATTGGCTCCCACCGGAAGTGTCAGCTTTGCAGCTTCTCAAGACAAAAGGGTTAATGCATTCTTGTACAAATAATTTTTGTCTCAATAAAAAAGGTAAAGTCGGGAGATGTGAACCAGCATCGCGGCACACAGTTATAAACCATAAGTGCTTTGCCACCAGTATGGACAGCTGATAAGAAACTGTCCGCCTGTGTCGCCGTCCGCAGGAAAATCCGTAGCTAGAGCAACGTTCCTCCTATTACCTCAGAGTGTTAACTCTGGTACCCAATACCTAGAGGCTGGGTAAACCCTGGGAACCGCCCAGTGTTGACACACCTGCCGTGGGCTGCAGCAAGTCGCAGCTGTATTTGAAAGTGAGTCTCCTATCAACTGCACTAACACATTACAGTAGCCAAAACATTGCTGTGGACACACTTTTATAACTTTTTTGGAAGTATAACTCACCCATTCCAGTTCCTGCTGGTGCTATTTCTCTGGAGAAGAACTCTAGAGCCTTCCTATCATTGTGGGTCACAGCAATCCATAAAAGAACATCTTTGGGACCAGGCTGGCAAAGAAAGTATGTCAATAACATGTCATCAAAAATAACTAAAATCTCCCAGTATTTGAACAACATACAACATAAATAACCGATATCTCAGATTATGTGAACATTTCTTCTTCTTCATATTCACCAGGGGTTAACTCTGGTGGAAAGTTCTGGTTGTTCATCCACTTCTGGACATTGGTCTTGTTCCAGAATCAAGTTTTGCATGCACAGTATAACTTAAATTAACCATCACTGTCCGGACCAGGGCTGTTGTGACACAGTTGTATCTTCACATCCCCCAAGAAATAGATGTGCCTAATTCGGACATAGTGTGTTATGGATATAGTTTGTAGCTCTCTTGAATTGTACTCAAGAACAAGGCCAGTGATGTAACAATTACACAGGAGTTTATTTATTAACAATATTATCAAGTCAAACAGAATGAATCATTTCAATAACCAATAGTATAGGAACACTTCATTATCTTATTACTGGCTATTCGTATGTCTCTCTATGAGTTCCTTAATCACTCTCTTAACTAAACTCCAAGTTTAATATATATCTTCTAACGAAGCACAGCTCTAGTTTTTCCAACTCGTCTCTCAAGCGGCTCGCTCCTGACTGTCCCACTGCTCTCTCAAGCCGCTCACTACTCACTCACCTCCCCTCGCTTTCCCTCTCTTTCTCGCGTGGGTCTCAATCACCCCCTGTCATCTGTCTCTGGTGGTCACGTTTGAATAAACGTATCTTCAGTTGGACACGTGCATCGCGTTGTTCTCGGGCACTCGTCGACCTCCCTCTCTGTCGTATGTTTTCATCCTTCACTGTCAGATGTCATGGTTTTACCATGATAACCGCACTTAATTCAACTCTGGTCACCGTGCAGATGTTCTGTATCGCTGGTCAGGCCAGCTTTCTAATCACCCATTTCTGTCATGTCACTCAGTGATGGATTAGTATGCCTTGATGGTGATCTGAAATGTATGCTTTATTAATTTAACCCCTTCTGTCCGCCTTCCTATTTCACTTCAGATGTACAATCAGACAGTTACTGGTGCCATCAGAATTAGAACTCTTCTCTGCTGCTAAAGATGGGGATAGAGTGCTTATGGGGTTGTCCCGAGTTTTCTGATGTCGACTCTTAATTCAACTCTTCCTATTTCACTTCACTGTGACAGATAACTGAAAAGACGGATAACAGAAATCTAATATGTATGTAAAGCAACCTGATTTCACCGCGGGCTTGGGGCAAAAATAAAAATAAAAATCCTTTAAAAGGTGAACAATACTCATATTGTTTTAAATTTTACAAAACGATTAATATAAACATCAACATAAGAGTAGTAATGTACAGAAATGTATTGTAATACTACAAATCTGCGTTACTTTAAAATAATCTGTCATCTTCTTCTGTGCATTTGTCCCACACTGTTGCACACTTTTGCCACCAGGAATAGTCTCAGGTCCATCACTTTCATCAACAGGTTCAGGCAAGAGTATATTCCATCCATTCTTTCAGGTAGACACTGCAAGGCTAGTCCAGGCAGTGGGGATATTAAAAATAGCTTCATTTATGTTGTATCTCTGGGTTTTTTGGACAAAGACGGATAGCAGAAACTAATGATTAAATGAGTGACGTTTAATTAAAGTTTTACTGTACATCTATTTTACAGATTTGACTCATCTGTATGTAGATTCTTGGTTCCCCACTTCTCAGCAGACATATGCTGAATTCAAAGGAAACACTCTAAAACGTCGCTGTTCGGGTTTTTTAGAATATCAAATTAGGATGCCCCATAGTATTCTGAGAATCTGTCTATATCATTTCAGCGCAAAAGTCCCTATTTTCTCCCTTAATGACAGCGAGATAGTCTACAACTCGCATATGTATGCTGCCACTGGGAAGATGTATGCCCTCACAGTTTTCATCTTGATTTCCTTGCTGGTGCTTATTTACAGACTTGTAATGCTGTTTAGTCTTTTTTTTTTTCTTTTTAAAGTATGTTACAAATAAATAATCACAAATGATCAATATGACTTTGACAAGCAGCAAAATTCTTTTGAAATTAGACAGTGTGAAGCATACGTAACAGATATAAGAATGGTAACTTAGCAAGGAATATATAAATAGCAAGAAAAAAGTTAGTTGTGTATCCTTTACAGGACGTTTCAGAACCAGCTATAGAATTTTTTGGCTGTTTTGGTTTTTCTAGGCATGTTTACGTCCAGTAGTTTGCCATCGCTTTATGGACTGTCAGCTTCTCAATATCACTGTCGAAACCAGTGCAAGGCGCAAGGCCTCGAGCTGGGATCGAACCCAGCACCCCAGCATTACGAAGCACGTTCACCACGCCTAAGTCACAGTAAATAGTAAACAGTACTATAAAATATGGGTTGTGGACAGACAGGGTAGTCCATGTCAGATGGGCATACTTCATGAAGAATAAAGCAATAAATTTACCGGCGACCCTAGTCCCCTCATGTGTTCTGGCCTTCTGTCTCGACCTACGACCTCAACATGAACAGCAGTGAAGTCATCCATATTGAGTTGATGAAAAATGCGCCTACATCTGAAAATAATCGGTTTACAGATAAATGTGTCTAATAAAGACAATCACACACATATCAGAAGACAATCACACACATATCAGAAGACAATCACAAACATATCAGAAGACAATCACAAACATATCAGAAGACAATCACACACATACCAGAAGACAATCACACACATATCAGAAGACAATCACAAACATATCAGAAGACAATCACAAACATATCAGAAGACAATAACAAACATATCAGAAGACAATCACAAACATATCAGAAGACAATCACAAACATATCAGAAGACATTCACAAACATATCAGAAGACATTCACAAACATATCAGAAGACAATCACAAACATATCAGAAGACAATCACAAACATACCAGAAGACAATCACAAACATATCAGAAGACAATCACACACATACCAGAAGACAATCACAAACATATCAGAAGACAATCACAAACATATCAGAAGACAATCACAAACATATCAGAAGACAATCACAAACATAGAAGACAATCACAAACATATCAGAAGACAATCACAAACATATCAGAAGACAATCACAAACATATCAGAAGACAATCACACCCATATCAGAAGACAATCACAAACATATCAGAAGACAATCACAAACATATCAGAAGACAATCACAAACATATCAGAAGACAATCACAAACATATCAGAAGTCAATCACACACATACCAGAAGACAATCACAAACATATCAGAAGACAATCACAAACATACCAGAAGACAATCACAAACATACCAGAAGACAATCACAAACATATCAGAAGACAATCACAAACATATCAGAAGACAATCACAAACATATCAGAAGACAATCACAAACATATCAGAAGACAATCACAAACATATCAGAAATGAAAACAACAGTATAAATGACCAACAGACTAAACATTTTGGACATTATAAAAAAAAAAAGCTTGAGAAATACTGGCTTATGTGGCTTAGGCTTTGTGAACGTGCTGTGTAATGCCAAGTTTGATCCCAGCTACAGGCGATTTGACAGCAGACTGCTTTGCGTTGGTTTTGACAGCAGTATCAAGAGCCAACCGTTTAGACAGCCATAGCAAACTAATAAAAAAAAATTTGCCTAGAAAAATAAAAAAGCTGGCATTGGTTCTGCAATGTCCTGTAAAGGATACGTAACTAACATCTTTTTTGTTGTTGGGATGAATGGTTAACTGCACATGTGGAGGAGCAGTTCTTCTTCTTCTTCTTCATTTACCTGCTGTAAGCTCTGGTGGAAAGTCCTGATTGTTCATACATTTAGACTTTAGCTTTGTGCCAGGGCCTCAGTTTTGTATGTACATCAGTTTTACTGGCTTATTTCTGTGCAGCTGGTTGTTCCTTCCGCTTGGGCAGATGCACTCCGACTTTAAAGGAAACAACCAGCTAGTGGACTCTTACAACATGCTTGTTGGGGAGACAGTAGATCTATTCTAGTTTTCCCAACAATGGGGTCCCCGTACCCATATAGGGAGGAGGAGAAATTATGACAATAGTTTACATGGCAAGGTAATATGGTTTCTCTGAAAGACTATGCGTAATGGAACCAGTTCAAAACTGCTTTGGTTGGGGCATATAGAGACAACCAGATAAAAGAGTCACAAAAACTGTGTACACAAAAGAGCTGAATGAAAGTAGACCAAGAAGAGGGTGAAGAAATAATATATACAGGCACTTAGAGTCACCAAGCAGAAATAGTAAGCTGATCACAGAGACTAATGGAGGCAAGTGATATCTGCAGCAAGGGACCTCAATGGCTCAAAATGCTGAAGAAGACATGTGGTTTAAAAGAATGTTAAAAATACTTTGGCCAGTGAAATTTAGTAGTGAACATGTTTTAAAAGATGCTTAGATAGGACGCATACAATAAAGACCCAAAGGAAATGGTTTACATTCTTTAGGACACATGAGAAGAGAAAAAAAAAGTGGAATGTATAGCAACAACTAATGATGGGTGGCTGGCACCACATAGCAAAGTTTAATGGGCGTGGAGACTTTCCTTCAAAACTAGTACCATCAGGTTATCTGATACAATACTTCTGTATCTGAAAGAGTTGACCCTTTTACCCTGGTAACACCTAAAAAAAAGGAGGGGTCATGACCCTATGAGAATCCTCAAGAAAATGCTTTAAAGGCAGTTTTACACAGGCTATTAGTAAATTTGTAAACATTTATTTATAACATTTGAGGGGAAGGTTGGGGGAGGGGGGGGGGGATGTATAAAGCTAAGGGAGTAACCAGATAACTTTAACAGGGTGAAGCATTTAATGTAACACATTTGCTGGGGCCTAACAAATATATGTAGAGGGTGACTCATGCTGTGACCCCATGACCTCTATCAATGAGGCTTACAGAAAATTTGACATCAACTTGCCTTTAATATCTTGGTTAATATCTTCTCATCTTGACCTCATAAAGGTTTGTGCAAGCATACACAGCTAATAGCATTAACTATACATCTCGTAAACAGGCCACTAAAGACAAGTCTGAAAAGTGTCATTCAGGGGAACTGGCCTCAAATGTAAGCGTTAGTTCTGCGGCTTCCCGGGATAAAAAAGTTTAAGTAAATAAAGTGTATAGCATGTGTTTTGTTTCTGCATTTCTTAAAAGAGTGGGGGTAGCACAAAGTGTTGCAGTTTACAGCTAGGCTGTGATATCTGCACATTTCGGTCCAAAACACCCTTAGCTGGTCACCTTACTTAGCAAAAAATAGGCATCAGAACCCACACATGGAAACTGTATGTTGCATACCAACAGTCTGCACCAAATGAAACATGTATGTACACAAGCAAAACTGGTTCCACACACAAAACAAACCTGGTGAGAATGGCTTTAGCAGTTTTTTCTGCCTTTTCAGTGGCTCTGGGTCCACCAACCACACATGCAGCTGTTGACCTGAAGCCGGTAGCATAGGTAGCAGTCACCTAATCAACATAATTCACATGTTAATAAAAACATATCTGTAGCATACATAGCACTCATCTGATCAACATAGTTCACACAGGTATAGCATAAAGAGCATTCATCCAACCAAAACAATTGTTTTTGCAATTTGTAAAACAAACATGTAGCTCATCTCCAACATCTCTTATGTCTAATATCATATCCACAAGGTTTCTTGTCTAACACTTCATCCATGAGGTTTTATGTATGACAATATATCCACCTGGTTTTATGTATGACACTATATCCACATGGTTTTATGTATTACACTATATCCACCTGGTTTTATGTATGACACTATATCCACATCGTTTTATGTATGACACTATATCCACATGGTTTTATATATGACACTATATCCACATGGTTTTATGTATGACATTATATCCACATGGTTTTATGTATGACACTATATCCACTGACCTTATATTCGCCAGAAGGAGGGTTCCCTTTGGCTCCAACAACATAAACCATATCGCCAGGTAATTCATCAACCTCCACCTGCGTGAAGTCACAGACGACGTCGGGAAGGAAGTAATGAGCTGGATCATCGATCTCGTACAGCAGTTGCTCACTGACGGTTGCTTTGTTCACCAGCCCTCCAGTCTTGTGAGGTTTTGAAAGTGTGAACTTGCCGTCGGAGCCGACTGACACTATAGGGAAACCAATATGGTCCCTGAAAATTCATTCAGACTCTCATTAAAAAAATAGCTCACTCCCATATATAGTAATCAAGTAACCGCAGTTCCAACTTCATAGCGAACAGGTCACCCCCATAGTTGTTCTGCTGTCTTGACATCGACCCTGGCTGCCATGATACGAACATAAGTGATTTTGTGTATTTGTGTAGTATTGTCTAATCTATGTATGTGCTGAAGAAGGCTCCATAGCCGCAAGTTTCACATTTTGTTTGTGCTTGTTATATTGTGAAGCTTGCTGATATACTTTTTGTTTGGTTTTATATCTTGTGCCAAAGAAAACCACACAGAATGTCCATCACTGTCTCTTGTAAAAAAATAAAAATTGACAAGGACAGGTGTCAATAAATAAATGAATTTTTTTGGGGGGTCCTTCCTTTCATCTCAGTTAACAATAACAATTTGGAGAGGGGAGGGGTGTGTTTTTTTAGGACAATAAGTCATCATCATCTGGTATCTGGCCAGATGGTTTAGGCATTATGTCTCTCCCCAGGACTCTGTCCCTTGCTGCATGAATCAATTCAGTTGATGATATTACTGCTACTGACAAGTTAAAAAACTCCAGAAATCTCCATTTCACTGCGGTCTTGCAAAGCTATATAAAACATTCCACTCACACTTCTATCTGCTTTCAGGATTAATCTTTACATTTGTCAAATGGATGTGCACATAGAACTATAGTTCTAGGACAAGAACACAGTCAAAAAATGTACAAACAATCATAACTTTCCGCCAGAGTTTATAGTCGGTGAACGCTGAAAAGAACAGGATAGAATACCAAATAACTAGTGGCTGCGTGACAGTTGACTGGCACCTTTTTCTCTTGCCAGCTGATACTGTCATACTGTGCTACAGCCAGATATGGGAATCACAGCCAGATATTGGAATCACAGCCAGATAGGGAAATCGCAGCCAGATAGGGGAATCACAGCCAGATAGGGGAATCACAGCCAGATAGGGGAATCACAGCCAGATAAGGGAATCACAGCCAGATAAGGGAATCACAGCCAGATAGGGGAATCACAGCCAGATAAGGGAATCACAGCCAGATAAGGGAATCACAGCCATATATGGGAATCACAGCCAGATATGGAAATCACAGCCAGATAGGGGAATCACAGCCAAATAGGGGAATCACAGCCAGGTATGGGAATCACAGCCAGGTATGGGAATCACAGCCAGATATGGGAATCACAGCCAGATATGGGAATCACAGCCAGATATGGGAATCACAGCCATATATGGGAATCACAGCCAGGTATGGGAATCACAGCCAGGTATGGGAATCACAGCCAGATATGGAAATCACAGCCAGGCATGGGAATCACAGCCAGATATGGGAATCACAGTCAGGTATGGGAATCACAGCCAGGCATGGGAATCACAGCCATATATGGGAATCACAGCCAGGTATGGGAATCACAGCCAGATATGGGAATCACAGCCAGGTATGGGAATCACAGCCAGATATGGGAATCACAGCCAGGTATGGGAATCACAGCCAGATATGGGAATCACAGCCAGGTATGGGAATCACAGCCAGATATGGGAATCTCAGCCAGATATGGGAATCACAGCCAGGTATGAGAATCACAGCCAGATATGGGAATCTCAGCCAGATATGGGAATCACAGCCAGATATGGGAATCACAGCCAGATATGAGAATCACAGCCAGGTATGGGAATCACAGCCAGATATGGGAATCACAGCCAGGCATGGGAATCACAGCCAGATATGGGAATCACAGTCCATGGCGATGGTGTCAGCGACTAGCAAGGTCAGCCTGCGTTAAGTCTTGCAAATGTTTGCAGGGTCAGAGAGATTTGAGTTCAATTCTTTTTGATGTGTTTTTACAAATCATCATCATGCAACATTTCTAAAAGCATGAATATGACTATGGTTTGCCATTTCACAAGATCACCAGTCTTGTATTAATTAGGTCTGTAGTTTTGTTCAGATTAGGCTACTGTTTTAATTGCTGCATGCTATATTTATCGCCTGGCACATCTGTCTGACCTATTTGTGCTCCATCCTCAGAGTCGCCAGCCATTTCAGTGTCTTCATGTTCACCGCAGCCAGAAGGAGTCAACTGGCATATCTTCTTTTGTTGCCCTACACTATGCCCACACTTTACACTTAAAATAAACTCTAGTCATAGTTACACATGGGATGTTTCTAAAGGCATGGAAATGCTACAATTTATCACAAAAAATAAAACCTGGCCTACCATTCTTCAACCAGATGCCAGTCTGTAAAGACACCGCCAGTACTTTGAGCTCCACATTCTATTAAGTGACCAGCAAGGCTGAAAAATGAAGTATAAGAAGCCAAAATAATAAAAATTGTATCACAGCCAATTATAAAAATGAAAGATAATGTACAGATGCTTACTAAGATAAATCCCAGTGTGCGTTCCTGGGCCCCCCCTTTGGTGGATAGGGGAAGAATAACAGACCCACCGCTCCCTAACCAGCATGCTGCAGAAGGTGAATAATTAGGGGTGTTTCCTTCGAAGTCGGAGTGCACCTGCCTGAGAGGCAAGGAACAAGCAGTCTGCATACACACAAGCAAGATCTGTAAAATGGATGCACACACAAAACTCAGTTCTTGGAACTAAGTCAAAATCCTGAAATGGAAAAACAACCAGAACTCTCCACGGGGTTTACAGCTGGTGTATACAAACAAGCTATTAATCAAATATTAAGTACTCCTATAAAAGTATCAGCAAAAGACCCGTCTGATGCCAGGGGCGCAGTGGGTATATGATGCTTGACTCATGTTTTTACAGACTAATGGGCATTCAAGGGGTGATGTGGGGAACATTAGCCTAGCTGCCTTTACTTCCCAGGACTTTACATGGCACCCATTTTAGGCTGGGTTGACCTGTGAGCCAAGGTCATTAGTTAATACCTAACTCGATGCAAATTCAAAAACTAGACCTTTTGAATGTAAGATGAGTATCTAGCCACTCCACTACCACAGCTCCCATGTACTAAGATAAGTGGTGCTAATCAATACCTGTTTTCCCCTGTGTGGGTTCCGGGGCCCCATTGTGGGGAAAACAAGAATAGACCCACTGCCTCCCCAAAAGCATGTTGTAAGAGTCAACTAATTGGGGAGCTTCCTTTGTAGACGGAGTGCGTCTGCCGGAGAGGCAAGGAACCAACAGTCTGTATTCAAGAGAATGAGATCTGTAAAACTGATGCACACGCAACACTCAGGTTCTGGAGCAGGACTGCAGTTCAGTAGTAGACGAGCAACCAGAACCTTCCGCCAGAGTTTACAGCTGGTGAACGCGAAGAAGAAGAAGAATACCTGTTTTTTTATTTCTCATGTGAACTACAACAACAATGTGAAGAAGTATCTTTTCAACATGGAAATGGCACTTCCCATGTGGGTTTCGGGGCTCCATTTTGAATGGGAAAAAATTGTTGAATGTCGACAGCACTAGGGACACTCACATAAGTGCTCAGTCCCCATCTTCACCAGCAAGCAAAGAGTTCCAATTCCGATGGCACCGTTCTTCGTCTTCTTCTTCTTCTTCACTTCCTCTTTTACCGCTGTGGGTGTCGAGGGAGATATAAGGTTCTGTTTCTAGCTCTTCTGGCTGCCTCGACCATAGGCACATTGTGCTGTTGTAGAGTTTCTCTGATGTTATCCTTCCATCTTGTTCTTGGTCTACCCCGTGCTCTACGTCCTTCTTCTCTTTCCATGTATGCTTTGTATGGTATGGCACCAGTAACTGTCTGAATGTATATCCGTCTCACCTTTCTTTACCTTGGGTGTTGAGCGTCAGCCAGATCCCCCGGTAACTCCCTGCAGTGCAATTCTCCTCAGACCATAATGATCTGTTTGCGCCTCTGAACTATTCACTCGCTCCCGAAGGGCCCTCACAGCATCTAGCTTGTCATACATCAATTCACCCCCAAGTGGTGCAGAACTGGCCAGTCTTTCTCCCTGCTCACTGCCTAACACACTGGCATAAACTAGAGATAATATCCTCTAAAGGATGCTAACTACCTGGGACTTCTGAAGTGATGCTTGCCAATCTGCACGGAGCATGCCTGTCTCCAACTTTCTCAACATGATCTGTGAGTCAGTTACAATCATGGCATGTGTGTACAGCTGATTCTCAAGCCAGCAGAAGGCAGCAGTGACTGTTTACACCTTTTAGAGGAAATAGAATTGACCTACTGCCTCTCTAACAAGCATGTCATAGGAGGCAACTAATTAGGGGTGTTTCTCTCAAAGTCAGAGTGCATCTGCCTGAGAGACAAGGAACCAACATTCTGCATACAGATAAGCCAGATCTGTAAAATGAATGTGAAGACAGAACACAGTTTCTCAATCAAGACCGAACTCCAGAAGAGGATGAACAACCAGAACTGTCTGCCAGAGTTTACAGCATGTGAAAGCTAAAAAGGAGACAAACTGGCAGAACAATTAACAACACACAAACAGTATAGATAAAAGAAGATGGTTGGCATACTTTTATGTGACAGATCCATCTTCTTATTCTCATAAAATGAAGTTTGTGTTTCACTTATTATCGTTTTGTTTCTGATTGTGCTTTAGGGAGCCATGAGAATCACAGCTAATGGCAACACCGATTAAAACCAGGGATAGAGCTGCTCCTAATCTTCCTACCACCAAATTGTATTTGAAAAAAAAAAAAACCATTTTCATACCTTGGCCTATTAAACACTCATAGAGAACCAATGCAATTGACACTCTTTATTAACAGGTCAAAGCAAATAAGCTGATATACTGGCATTTACTGAACGAGTCACAACCGGAAGTGACTAGATTTAGTCTTCTCATGGTGATGGGTGGCAGATAAAAGGCAGAGAAAGAAGAGCGTGATGAGATGGGGTAGTTTCCACTAGAGCATCAGAACGTCTGCCTGCTATTGTGGAATGAGTCTACAAAGAGCTTGGAGTAAAAATGGAGCCATGAAAGCCATAGGGAAGTTGTTATAATGCGATTACATTCACCTGTACTGTCCCTCACCTGCCTGCAGCCAACAAATCAAACTGGTCCATGGTCCACCCAAACTGAAAACAGAGATGTTAACATGATTATCTATTCATGTTTTATAGGACATACAGAAAGCAAATAATAGTATCACTATCCTATTGTTAAAGTGCAATAACACTGTCAGTGTTATCCACAGACGGCCCATGCTACTACAAACACAGAACTGGCCAATCTATCAGCTCTTTCATTGCTAACAACGCCCACATCCCCTAGGACAAAGGTGAAGGTAACTCCATGCACAGCCTGCTCTAACCTGCTGGATCAAGCTCATACAATTACTCAACATACTGGAATTCACGCATGTGGAAGTAATCCAGTGATTCCAGCCATATGAAAGCTTGTGTCACTGCCATCACTCCATTGTCATGCTGCTGGTAGTCACTGAGAAGGCACCTCCAGCAAATACAGAAGGTTGACAAGAGACTACATCATCCTACAGAAAACTTTATTTCCAAAATGTAACCAATTATGAATGAGTCTGCAAAGAGATTGATGAGGGTTATTTGAGTACCTCTATTCTGGTGGCAGAGGCAAGTGTGATGAGAGAGGGCAGTTTCCTAAAGCATCAGAATGACTGCCTAATATTGTGCAACGAGTCTACAAAGAGCTTCGTGTGAGTTGAGTGCCTCTGCTCCACTCGCAGATGAACGAAGAGCATGATGAGACAGGATAGTTTTCTGAAGAATCAGAATGCATAATATTGTGGAATGTTTATTCAATCTTCAGAAGCCTGACATTTTCTTTGTTCTTCTTCTTCCCATTAACCGGCTTTAAACTGCTACAGAAAGCTCTAGTTGTTCGCCCACTTTTGGACTTTACTCTTGTTACAGGATTTGAAATGTGTGTGCATACCCATTTACAGACCTGGCTTGTTTGTGTACAGACTGTTAACTCTTTGAGTCCCAAGGAACGCATCATACGCTCATAGGTTCCTGCCTAGAGGCCCAATGAACGCAAGATGTGTCGATTTTACACCTCTTTTGACTACCCTTTGGGCCTCTGATGCTAAACTCCCTGGGACTCAAAGAGTTAAGTCCATGTCTCTCAGGCAGATGCACTCTGACCTCAAAGAAGAAACTGCAATTAAAAACTGACAACACTTACTTCATGGATCAAGGGAGCTAATGCTAACGCACTGTCCACACACCTGCCAGTTATGACGATATCTGCACCCATGGATAAAGCCTGTGCAAGAGGTCCTGCCCTGTTGATTTTGGCAACAATTAAAATTTAATTGGTAAGAAAAAAAATTACCATAACAAATGTTCATAGAGAAACATTTCTAGCAACTTCAAACAATTTTTCAAACTCAAATACAGTAAAACTTATGTTAATATGCACTTGCTTAAAAGCACTAAGTTAATATGAGTAAAAGGTTCGTCCAGCAGGAATGTTTTAATCACTCCCTGTTTGGCAGCATTTTTTTTACATACAAACTCTTAATTTTTTGAATTTGTATTAATGAGGTTTCATTTTACTTCTTTGTCTTTGCTCTTCTTTTTTTTCTTTTTGTCTATAGTTTTTTTTTTGTTTTGTTACAGGATATTTGTATTTATTAACGACTCAGTGTAGCCCGCTGGCTTAAGGGTTAGCGAAATAGGTTCACAGTGCAATCCTCAATATTTAACAGGGTTTGATTCATTTTCAGACAGCAGTATGAGAATCACACCATGGAAGAGAATGAGGTCTCACCAGATAATATTTCCATAGTTAGCAGTGAATACAATGAGGCAACTTTTACTGTGAAGATGGCACAACTGTTTTTTTTGTTGTTTTTTTTGTTGGGGTGATGATTCTACCTTTTGGTCTGCATAACCAACTTCTTCCTAGCATATGTTGACATATTTTGCTTTCCAATTTATATCAGACATTTAAAACCATTTTTATCGCTATCCATCTTCTTCAGATTCACCAACTGTAGACTCCAGCAGAAAGTCAAGTTGGTCATCCACTTCTAGACTTGTTCTTGTTCGGGAACTTGAGTTTTGTGTGCACATCCATTTCACAGATTCGACTTCTTTGTATGCAGACTTCTAGTTCCTCATCTCTCAGGCAGATGCACCCCAATTCCGAAGGAAGCTGGGAAATAAACAGGCAGATTGGCAGGTTTTGTGCCACTTGGTGGTAAACTGATGCATAACAAGCTGGATGTTATAAGGTCCCTGTGAGAGCGAAGAAACAGTGAATGGTGCAGCAAAGAATGAACAGGGCATCTGGCCGGCATTCAACTTTCAGGGGAGAGGAGAGACGGACACAGAATCATTGTTACTAGTACCATCAAAATCAAACTCTGCACTTGCTGCTGAAGATGGGGACAGAGCATGGAAGAAGAGATAATGAAAAAGGCACGCATGCACGCACGCATGTACGTACGTACATGTATGTATGTATGGATGTCTGTCTGTATGGATGGATGGATGGATAGATGGATGTCTGTCTGTCTGTATGGATGGATGGATGGATGGATGTACGTACGTCCCATGCTGTCTTTACATACATACATACATACATACATACATACATTCATACATACACACACATACACACACACACATACATACATACACACACATACATACAACCATACGTACGCACGTATGTATGTATGGATGTATGTATGTGTGTGTGTGTATGTATGAATGTATGTATGTATGTATGTATGTATGTATGTATGTATGTATGGATGGATGCATGTATGGATGGATGGATGGATGGATGGATGGATGGATGGATGCATGCATGCATGTATGTATGTATGTATGTATGTATGTATGTATGTATGTATGTATGTATGTATGTATGTATGTATGTATGTATGTATGTATGTATGTATGTATGTATGTATGTATGTTTGTATGTAAAGACAGCATGGGACAGCATGAAAATGTCCTGAGTGCTGTGATTTCATTTCTTAACTCATAACATACATACTACAATATTTTTTTGGTTATTTCATTATGTGAATTAGGCTGGCAAAAGAAATTCTACCCAAGATAAGCATTCATACTGTGAAGCTGCTCGGGAAAAGGCTGCCCTGTCTTCATCTCATAAATGCCTTGCTTCTGGAGGTCCCTAATCTGCAAGACAGGATAAAACAGACATCTCTTTCAGTAATATTTGTGAGTCATATAGAATAAAACAGACATCTCTTTCAGTAATATTTGTGATCCTAAGGATAAAATAGACATCTATTTAAGACATGTTTGTTAGCCATGCAGGATAAAACAGACTCATATTTAAGACATGTTTGTGAGCCATGCAGGAAAAAACAGACATCTATTTCTGACATATTTGTGAGCCATGCAGGATAAAACAGACATCTCTTTCAGTGACATTTATGAGCCGCAATAGTTATATGCTCACATGTTCAACCAGAAATCTTGAGTCTGAATCTGCAGAGGTGTGCAGAGGTGGATTTTTATCAAATGCTCTTAGCTGCCAGGTCAACCTAACCTAAACTGGGTGCCAGGCAATGCCCTGGGAAGTAAAGTGGTTGATGTGATGATGATTTCATCAGCCATTGAGTACCAATTGGTGTATAAGAAAGTAGCACCATATGCACCAATGGTGTGAAATGTGTTACTTGTGAACCAAACGTCGTAGTCTGTCAAACAAACCCACGGCCGTCACAGTGCAAGGCAAATAGCATGACCACTTACTTCATCACAGAGACCCCTTGGCAGAACTATATTCCCCCCACCCCTCCCAAAAAATATTTACAAAAACACAGAAAAATACATACATGAGACATTAGATCATCTCCTTTGACAACAGCAATATTTAAGTCCACGCCCTCTGACCTGCAAATTTTTCGAAGAGCTTCTGCACAAGCTCCAGGGTTGATGCCGCCTGCATTGGTCAGCAGCTTGATTCCTGCAGACATGTCATTTTCTGTCAATTAAGTTAAAGTTATTTTTCAAGGAAATGAAATGGAGTTAGCCCTACAACAAATGCTGCAGCTGTGATGTGTGCGATAATCAAATTATCATGTATGGATTGGGACACATTGAAAGAAATGGAAAAAGAACTTTTAACCCTTTTGTCATGAGAAGCTGTAAAACCGAAAACATCCAGTTGATTCCAATTCCCCATAAATGTCACCTTTCTGACTTGTCTATAGTTACCCATTTACAAGATGCAGTTAATGCTACTGACTGTTACTTTGCCTGAATAAACGTTTAGCAGATCAGGATATGAATACATTAACCATAAATAGCATTGGGAGAGGGGTTTCCTTTGAGCTGAACAGCTTTTTAGAAGCCTAGCTGACATTAGATTTCCCTATAAACCTCACTGATGGAGGTCACAGCATGAGTTACCTGATACACATGTTTTGTTCGGCCCAGGGAATGAAAAACCATTTTAAAATGCAGAAAAATTACTAATTTGGGAGGGGGAGATAACCCTGAGTTATGACTTGGGTTAACTTCACAGCACTCCGGACATGTCCATAGGTGCTCAGATTCCCCTATCAGCATAGACAATAGTGTTCCACGGTTGGCAGTGCCAGTCCCACGCTGCTTAATATTCTTCTTGTACATCTGATGTGCCTCTTCTGCATGAATGTACCATTCTTTATTCTTTAATCCTGCCTCACATGAAGATTGAATTAGGACCATTGCTTTGGCGGGTAAGTGTTCTAACTATCTGCCACAATAGCTAATATATGGTGAAGACAATCTGTATGTATGAATTTATATAGATTTGTGAGTAAGAGATATGAGCAGTGTTAGAAGGTGGAGCACAGAAGAAAGGAGGGTAAATGAGTGCTGAGTAGGACAGTATGTGTGTGTCAATGTACACTTGCCAAAGTTGTCGCATGTAGGTGTGTTGTAGGTAAGAAAGAGAGAAGGAGAGAGGGGGAGAAAGCGAGCTACCTACCTTTTGATTTGATGTCTTTGATGAAAGGGGCCACACTTACTTGCACGAAATCTGGAACATAACCCATATCCTGAAATGAAAATGTATAAAATCAAATGAGCTCTGTCCTTATATGAATCCCCTTCCCCCCCCCCCCCTCCCCCCAACCCCCTTTTCACCACCACAACAAATCTGAAAAGATCAGTGGTGCTTCCTTCAAAGTTGGAATGCATCTCCTGCTTGAGAGACGAGGAACCAACAGTCTGCATACAAATAAGTCAAACCTGTAAAACAGATGTGCAGGCAAAACTCAAGTTGTGTAACAAGTCCAAAGTCTAGAAGCGAATGAATAACCAGATCTTTTCCCCAGAGTTAACTGCCCATGAATGCGAAGAAGAAGAAGAATTCAGTGACTCTGTTGGCACCCTTCCATCTTCCAGATGATAAGTGTATAATGTCTTACAGAGAGGCACGGGAATTACAGCCAATAAATGACAAGGATGAAGTTCCTCCCTGCCTATAGCACAAAGCCCGGGCTGTATTGTAGAGACCACGTATTTCCTTTGCCGCATGACCTCTTTCTTGACCTGCCTTGTTTACTCCAAAATGCAGCACCAACATGTCTAAATAAATGACGAGGATATGTTAACGCCTTCACCATTATTATCATCATCAAATGCCAACGTTCCCTGTGTGAGTTCCGGGAACCCCCATTTTGAGGGAAAAGAATAAACCCACTTCCTCCCTAGCAGGCATGTCGTAAAAAGCAACTAATGAGGTATTTTTCCTCCAAAGTCAGAGCGCATATGCCTAACATGTGAAGAACCAACAGTCAACACACAAGTTAACCAGACCTGTAAAATGGATTTACATGCAAAACTCAAGTTCTGGAACAAGACTGCAGTGCAGAAGTGGATAAACAACCGGAACTTTACATCTGAGTTTACTGCTGGTGAATGCTAAAAATAAGCAGAAGAAAATGCCAAGGGGAGTGGCACAGATGGTGTTCCTCCTCCACAAACATCCGTCCTCTGTTTTTTAATTCTTTCTAGAAGTTCAGCCTTCATTGTCTTGCATGCTACTCTGTCAAAACATTCAGAATGTTCTGCCCATCTTTAACATCCTCAGTCTTGCCAGCTATGCTGCCTTCCCCAGACATTATCATCTCACAAAATGACTTATACAGGATAACTGTCTTGTCCTGATGTGGGTAGTAAGTGGGCATTGATCTTCTTAGCTGTCTATTGTAAAGTAAGAATTCTACAGAGAAATCACATGTAACCTCCTTTCTTCTTCTTCTGTGGCGAACATTTGCTATGCATCTGTCCAACAAAGCCCTTTTATCAGTTACAAATAGAATTCTTGCATCTTACAGAGAACCAATTTTAATATATCGCTTACTCTTAATCGAGGTTTTAACTTCACTGCAATCAGGTCACCCCATACTTACTCCGTTTCTGTGCCAGTCAAAATCAAATGAAATCCCTTTCACAGTCCTTTCTGAAAAACTGGTGAACAAACAATTAATCCCAGCACAATCCAGAAATATGCGCATGCAGTAAATGCACATGGCAGGTGCTAGAGGTGCCAAAGCCAATAATCGCCACCAGAAATGCAGTTTGTCGTTGATGGAAGTAATTGGTCACAATAAATTGGCTATACACACGTAAAATTATTAATTAACGTATTTCACCAGCCCACATGCAAACCGGCTACAGGCCATAATGAAAACCCTGATTCAGCTGCACAAATGAAAGGCATTCCATATGAAGCACACAGCTTACAGGGCTGTGCCTAGCACTAAACTCAGTAGCTCCCTATGTGGAAATTGCAATAGCAAAGCGCTGTCAGAAGCAAAAATAACTTTGAAGCAAAACATTCTGAAATGCTTACTCCTCCATATTTGAACGGAATAAATGGCTGTCAATCTAGAATAATCTGGAACAACTGTCTTATCCTGATGTGGGTAGCAAGTGGGAATTGATCTTCTTAGCTGTCTATGGAAAAGTTAGAAGAATTCTACAGAGAAATCATAAGTAGCCTATTTGTTTTTGACGACTTCTAGTGGGTTTTTTTCTGCAAAAGATCTTAAATGGGCGACTGACATATTTTGTTGTTGTTCACAGCTAGGCTGTGATGTCTATGCTTCTCGGCCCAACACATCTGATTTCAGCAATTGCAGAAAAAATTATATATTATTTACCGGTGAATTTCTTCTGCCAGCGGTGAGAAGTGACATAGTGATTTCTGACAAGTAGTCGAACACGATGTAGTTTAGTTTGGCTCCATAGATCAACTGTGGGGCTATAAGAAAGGAAGACAAAACCATGGTGTTCGAATTTATTAGCATAACAATGGGTAAGACCAATAGCTTGGTACTTGACCTAAGAAATAAATCAATAAACTGAATGGCATTTATTGATAGATATAGCTATCTGAAACCATGAACTACAGTTCTAGTGGTGGAATGTTTGTGTTGGCACATATAGCAGTTGCATTATATATTTAATATGTGCAGGTTGCTGAAATTTGTCCGGACCAGGTTTTCCTGGCAGTACATAATGGCACTATTTTTTCATCACTGATGTAACAGACACTTTGTGGTGTGTACCAGCATGTTTTTTTTTCTTTCCAACACACTTTGTGGTGTGTACTGGCATGTTTTTTTTTTCTTTCCAACACACTTTGTGGTGTGTACTGGCATGTTTTTTTTTTCTTTCCAACACACTTTGTGGTGTGTACTGGCATGTTTTTTTTTTCTTTCCAACACACTTTGTGGTGTGTACTGGCATGTTTTTTTTTTCTTTCCAACACACTTTGTGGTGAGCATCAGTACTTTTTACCATAAAAATTCCCAGTTAGGACTGATCTGTTTTGCTAGTTTTTAAGTAGGTCAGTGTACTTGTTAATTTTTATAAGAAAGCACTGCTGGAACTACATCGGTCATGCACTGGGAATGGATGGGTAAGACAAGACTACCCCATCAAGCCCTCCTACGGACACTGGGAAGGAAAAGAAAATGGGGAAGACCAAGAGAGATCCTGCGTAGAACCACCATTAGGGAAAGCTCTACCATGGGCCTAACAAACATCCAAGACCACAAGCAAGTGGCAACGAACCACCAGACATGGACAGATATGACCTCTGCCGTAGGAAGTGTGCTTATTCACACAGTCACAGCATCTGCATTTTATAAATTATAAAGATATCTGGCTCCTGTGAAAACATACTTGTTTTTTTACAGTTAGTGTTATTGCCCTAGTTAAGCAGCTGTTGTAAATGTAATCGCTTGGAGTTGGTAGAGTTAGCAAAGTATTCAAGAACTGTAGGGGCACAATTATGGGTGCAAAATTAATTAAACTAAAAACAGTGCGATTATACAATTGAAATGTGTATTAGCCTACTAATTTCGCTGTTTAAAATATGTAATATGACTGTATATATTAACTCTTTGAGTCTCGAGGAACGCATCATACGTTCCTACATAGAAGCCCAATGAACACATGATGCGCCAATTTTATGACTCTCCTTACTACCCCCTGGGCCTGTGATGCTAAACCCACTGGGACTCAAAGAGTTAATATTAGGAAAAGAAATATATAATAATTGAGAGATGTGAGAATAGTCAGAGTTCAATATTCGCAGTCTCTCAACCTGCCATGCTGAGTCTGAAGTCAGCTGCTATGGATCTGTTAACAGTATGACACTAGACTAGCTATGCCTATCTGTCACTATGAGCGTCGTACCTTCATAAAACGATGGGAAAATTACTGAAAGTATTAAGCTAAGAAACAGCTAAGAAATAAATGCTGGTGTTGGTTGGTGTTAAAAAACCTGCACTTAATATCTTATATGCATTTAATTTGGTTTTTCAATTCAAAATTAAATTTCGTAAACAATGGGGACCAAGCACTAAGCCAAAGGTGAGAGCGGGCGAGAGTGAACGACATGAACATGAAGTTGATGAAGTATGAAGACTATACCTGCACAAGCGGTGTCGCCCCAAAAGCCGCTTGCACATCCTATCTTCACAACTTTTCCCTTTAATATATGATCATGGATGCATCTTTTCTGCGGTCGAAAAGTATCGTAGTGTGAGTGGAAGGCGTAACAAGGCGGGGCTCTACGAGAGATCAGACGCCGTAAACATTGAACCCCAGCCATTGTTGACCCAGCCAGCTTTCGTAGCTGCCAACAGCCTAATGTTTCAGGCCAGTTCTCTTATAGTGCGTTTCAAAATTCGTGCCCTCACATTTTAACAAATGTCGCACAAACTCTAATATTGATCAACACGAACTGTTTGCATGTGGCCTTTTATTTCCCATTTCCACTGGGTTTTGTAATTTATAATTGCTGAGGTGCTTTATCAAAGCGGCTAATTTCAATTATCTTTGACAAATAACGTGTATACCTTTAAAAATAAAATATAAGTAATTGACACGCGCTTCAAGACTGTTTGGAAATCAGTTCATATGTGCAGCGATGCGTAGTGATTATTTTGATAGCCGTATAGGCTACCACAGGAGGTTTATGGTATTCTCTTACTTCTTCACTTCTTTGAATGCATCTGGTTTTTAAAGAAAAGACACGATACGGTAATCATGTAGATTCCTGTGTGGGTTCCGAGTCTTCAGAGGCCGCTAATTAGAGGGTGTTTCCTTTAAAGACGGAGTGCCTCAGTCTGAACGGAGAGGGACCAACGGTGTATATAAAAATAACCCAGACCTGTAAAACAGATCTGTGCGCAAAATTGAAATTCTATAATGAAATCAAAGTACAGAAGTGAACAAACAACCAGAACAGACGGAAAACGCGAAGAAGAAGAAGAAGAAGAAGAAGAAGAAGAAGAAGAGGAAGAAGAAGAAGAAGAAGAAAAAGAAGAAGAAGAAGAGAATAGTGTAGAGGAATGTGATATTGAGCAATGATGCAAGCCGCTTCTCGATCCCTGGAGGCTGACTAGTGACATCTGAGTAGAGGAGAGATGACCACTAAAACACAGCAGTGACGGAAATTAAAATACGCATGTCAGTAATGTATAAGAAGGTTCTGATGACTGGTGCAACCAAGACAGACGAAGACATGCTGACATGGAGGAGAAAGACAACACCCTGAGAGAGATGAAAGAAATCAGAGACGATTTCTACCGAAGCTGACTGACTCAAGCATATCAAGGTAAAGGTCGTGATAGCTATTCAGAAAGAGTGGGAGCTACTGACAGACGATATAAACAAACAATCAAGTCCACCAGCTGAAGCCTTCAAGTCTAATAGAACAGAATCAGACATGTCAACACAAAAAGCAAAAAAGAAGCAGATGATAAAGTCCAGGCGCAACAAAAGTGTCCAAACTGATGTCGATGCACAAGAACTTAGCACACAACAAATGATACTGAAAGTATACCAAATGAAAGAAATAATGCAGGAGGAAATGAGAATTGTACGAATGCGGCTTTAGTGGCTGCATGCCGATGAGGAGCTAAAAGATCCGTCATTTATCTAACATTACTAACAAGTAATAGAGGAAAGGGGCTTCACGGCTACCAAAAAAAAAAAAAAAACACACACAGCAAACACCATAAGAAAGGTAGACGACACAAGGGAAGGGAAGGCGGCAGATGGTGGACTAATAAACAGTCGAAAAGAATCCTTCTAAAGATTACCCACTACCCACCGGGCCAAAGTGAGAGACGGTGGATGACAGAAACACAGTCAACTAAAGACAAAGCCTAGACATAGGTCCCAGGAGAGACCACCAGACGGAGCCAACAACCACGGCGCAAGAATCCGGTAATTCTGGCGCATAAACAAGAATGCACAATTATAACCAAACGCTCCTTTAGAGTTGGCTTTGATCCAAAGCTCCACTAAGGCTAGCTGAACGTGGATATGTTTTTTTTTTCATCAATCAATCAGTCAATCGAGGGCCAACCAGTCTACACGCGGGTTCCCTAAATGGGTTCTCCGGGGGTAACACCTGTAGATAAAGGAACAAAGTGGACACCACAAATAATGCAACATCATGTCCCATGAAACAATGGCTACAGTCATCCTAGAATAGGATCGACGTCTTTATTCGAAGTAGATCTGCTCGAGAGGCAGGGGACATACATGATGTAAGCTGCCATCCCGTCGCCTGAAAGCTTTTGAAACCTGAGCAAACGAAGGCAACAACTTAAATAAAAGTAACAATGGAGGTAAGTTCAAAAGGAGTTAAGAAAGAGACATCCGGGCTATTACTAACATCAGCAATTATAAATCAGAAGATGGCGCTATACTGGACAAATTGTAAGAAGTGGCGAACAGAGAATCACCAAAAAGACGATGAAGTGGGAAATAGATGGTCCGAGGAAAAGAGGACGCTTAAGAGAAACCCTTAGCCGAACGTGTGATCAGTGAAGCCGCCCTTCCGTCCGCTGATGGGGTTAGATCACGGTCTTCTCTATTTATCTAGAGAAGGCGGTGGGTTAGATGCTCCTGAGTGAACCAAGAGCATAAAAGAAAAGAAAAAAGATACGATAAATCAACAATGTATCGAAAAGTACTGAATTAATAATAATGATGAGGATGCAAGTATAGCAAACCGCCATCCCGTCCCCTGGTGAGGCTAGATGATACATGCGACAGTAAAGAAAAGAAAAAGATACGAGGCAACGATATATAGACAAGTAATGAATTATTAATAATGATCACGTTGCAAGTATAGCAGATGTATATTAGCTATGTTGTCTTGCCCATTGAGTTTTATAGTCACAGTTTGTGCTGTTATTTTATAGTCCGTTGATAAAGACTTTGGTCGAAACGTTCTGGTGTGTTTGTGTGCGGCTTTTCCATTCCCTCCATTGAGCTTTCTAGTCCCACTTCGTGTTATATTTGTCATTTCTTGCAATCAGCTCAACTGCAGTCACTCCTTATTCACGTCAGCAGTATAGAAAAATAATGAATTATTGATAATGATCATGATGCAAGTATAGCAATCTGCCACCCCACCCCAAACATTTCAAACTAACTATTATACAGTGCTACGCACCTACAAACAACGACACCGACAGCAACAAAGATAATTTCTACGACCTCCTGGTTGGTGTCATAAACAAAACTCCTAAGCACGACCTCCTTGTTGTAATGGGTGATTTTAATGCCAAGTTAGGGTCTGACAACAAAGGTGTTCAAAAATATATGGGAGTACACAGCCCAGGAGATATGAATCAAAACGGAGAGAGGCTAATTGAACTCTGTGAAATAGCAAATCTAACAGCAGCAAGCTCCTTATTTCCGCATAAAGACATACATAAAATAACCTGGATTTCGCCAGATAACATAACAAAAAACCAGATAGATCATTTTTGCATCAGCGCCAAATTCCGTACATCAGTGCAAGACGTTAGAGCCTACAGGGGAGCTGATATTGGCAGTGATCATAATCTTTGTATTGCCAAACTAAAAATTAAACTCAAGTCTCTACTTAAACCACCCAGAAATAAGAAAATAAACTTACAAGCCCTTTTGTCAAAAGATCATCAAAGCGCATTTAATGCAGAGATACTCACCACCTATGTAACCAAAACTAATAATGCGGATACTACAAATAACATAGACACAAATTGGGACTTTTTCAAGAACACACTGACGAACGCTGCAGTAAACACAGTTGGTTATGTACAAAAGCAGAAGAAGAAGTGGCTAAGCGACAACACTTGGTCAAAAATCCAAGAAAGGAAACAAGCAAAATTAACACTTTTATCCAAAAAAAGACACATCTTCATACGAAAAATACAGCACGCTAGACAAAGAAGTGAAATCAAATGCAAGGAAAGACAAACAGAACTTCATACACGACCTCGCCTCCGATGCTGAAACAGCTGCCAAGATTGGAAACAACAAAGCCGTATTCCATATTATGAAACAACTGTGCAATCACTCACCTACACTAAATACACCCATTAAAGACAAGCAGGGTAAACTACTGCTATCCGACGACCAACAAACAAAGCGATGGGCAGAACATTTCAAGGAAATATTAAATAGGCCAAATCCTGACATCATTGCCAATTTAGAAGAAGAAAAATTATTACACCAACACTAATTGCCTCCAGCGAGTCATTCACAATAGAGGAGATTAAAACAGCTATTAAAAAATTAAGAATAAACAAAGCTACCGGAGAGGACAACATCTCAGGAGAAATGCTCAAAGCAGCGGATGAAAACACCCTGCAACATTTGCTCCAGCTGATGGATGAAGTCTGGCAAAAACGAATACCCACCACAACAATGGAAAGATGGTGTAATCTTCAAATTACCTAAAAAAGGTGATTTATCCGATTGTAACAACTGGAGAGGCATCACCCTGCTTTCGATACCAGGGAAACTATTTTGTAGTATGCTACTAGAAAGATTGAAAAAATCCATAGATGAAAGATTAAGGGAAGAACAAGCCGGTTTTAGATCCAAGCGGTCATGCATAGACCACATCTTTACTCTTAGAATAATTGTTGAAGATTCTACAGAATTCCAGTCGAAATTATTGATCAACTTTGTCGACTTTCAAAAAGCCTTCGACAGTATCCATCGTCCAACACTCTGGAAATTGCTTAACATCTATGGTTTCCCCATCAAATATATCAACATCATAAAATCTTTTTATAATGAAACACGATGCTGTGTAAGAACTGATTCCGGCAATTCTGACTGGTTCCCGGTGGAAACAGGAGTGAAGCAAGGCTGTGTCCTATCGCCGATGCTTTTTGGTATAGCAATCGACTGGGTCATGCGCAAGTGCATAAATAACGCAAATTTAGGCATTACATGGGTTGACAAAATTCTGGAAGACCTAGACTTCGCTGACGACATAGCACTCCTGAGTTCAGAACACACAGACGCCCAAGAAAAAATCAATCGACTCCAGAATTTCTCAGAACAAATTGGACTCCAAATTAACACCGCAAAAACAAAAATTCTAGACCTTACCAACAGTTCAGTTGATATCACGCTGAACAACAACAGCCTTGAAAAAGTCAACAGTTTCACTTATCTAGGGAGCAAGATGTCATCTACAGGAGATACCGCACCAGAAATATCATTTAGAATAGCACTGGCATCTAGTGCCTTCAATAAACTGTCTAACATCTGGAAATCAAAGACACTTAGCAAACACACAAAACTCAAGATCTTCAATTCTTGTGTGATTCCAGTACTAACCTATGGATGCGAGAGTTGGAAATCAACGAAAACTCTAGACACAAAATTAGACAGTTTTGAAAATAAATGCCTTAGAAGAATACTAAATTTCAAATGGTCAGATTTCCGAACCAATACACAAATAAGGCAAGAATCCAGGCAAGAGTATGTGTCTAATTTTATACGAAAACGCCGCTGGAACTATGTCGGCCACGTCCTTAGAATGGATAAATCAAGACTTCCTTACCAAGCCCTCATTTGGACACCACAGGGGAAAAGATCTCGTGGAAGACCAAGGGAAACCCTACGTAGAACTATCATCAGGGAAGGCTCGCTCATGGGCCACTCAAACATCCAAGACCTACAACGGATTGCAACGGACCGCCGTGCATGGAGAGTCACGACCTCTGCCCTATGTGCCGCACTCGACACAAGAGGAAAGACTAACTAACTAACCCCACCCCCTTAAGGATGCTGACTGCTGACCTGTGAGTTCCCCTAATTGCTGCGCATGCGTGGTCACATGACTGTAATGACCACCGTAGACAAATGGAGGATGATGTGTTGTGAATAATCAGACACAAAAATGGGTGCAGTTAACATCTGGTCTTCTCTCCTTCCCTGGATATCCGACCGTTATTCTTACACGTGATTTAATTTTATCAATTCTTAGAGTTTTTATATTCGTCAAGATGTCTGAAAAGATGTCGATAGAGACCGTTTATGGCACCACGAATGAGGAGAGCCATGTTATGTCGGAGAAGGTGCAGACTTTGGCTGGAACTGTGTATAAGGAATTCGAGAAAGTCATCAAGCGGTACGATGAGGATGTGGTTAAGGATTTGATGCCGCTAGTTGTGGGTATATTAGAGACTTTAGATGCGGCCTTCACGGAGAAGCAAGAGTTGGATGTGGAAATAGAATTGTTGCGGGAGGATAATGAGCAGCTGTTGACCCAATATGAGCGAGAGAAACAGCTCCGGAAGAGTGCAGAACAGGTACACGCAACATAGTATAATAATAATGATAATGATATTAATAAAAGCTATTGAATCTCTTATTTTGATTCTTTTTATACTTAATACTTATTGCAATATCATGCCAAAATGAACAGGTAAAAGATAACTAGCTATTTCATCACCATCATGTAGCAAGTCCTTTTTACTTTGCAGAGCATCGCACTCTCATCATGGTCTGCCTAAAAGAAACTCGGTCTCCCGCCAGTTCTCCTGCCTCATATACTTTCATACTCAAGGAGTCACTTATATCCTGTGCACATCTTCGTGTCGGTCGGCCTCTGCCCCTCCTTCCTGGTACCATGCCTTCTGCTTTTTTCCAATAGTTTTTTCCAATCCGTTGTGGCGCTTGATATGACCAAAATATTTCAGCTTCCGAGAAAGGATGCTGTTTATTAGCCAATCTTCATTAATGTTCAGATCTTTTAAGATGTCAATATTTCTCCTCTTCTTTGTCCAAGATATTCTAAGAATCTTTCTATAGCATTTCAGCTCAAAAGCCCCTATTCTCTTTCTTAAGGACTGGGAGATACTCCACGACTCACATCTGTATGTAGCCACAGGGATGATGCATGCTCTCAAAATTCTAATTTTTATCTCCTTGCTGGTGCTTAACCATAGACTTTTAAGGCTGTTCAATCTTTGCATTGCCAACTTCAGTTAATTATTATAGAATATTAATTGATACAATTTGATATGTCATTATGAATATCAATGTCCTGTCAGCCCATCTATAATTCGGTTACTAAGTAAAATATATGTTTACTATCTGTAGTGTATTTACCACTTGGTGGTGAAGGATCAACAATGGTGTAGCCAGGCTAGGTGGTATGCAAAATGACACATTTCCTGTTAGAAATCCACTGCTCTCTCTCTCTCTATTACTGTCTCTCTCTCTCTCTGTATGCAATATATATACATATATAGGCTTTCCTCCAAACTTGATTATGAATTTCATTGTTGCTTCTCTCTTTATTTCCTGCTGTTTGCATCTTTGATGGGTTCAAAGATTTGTCATAAGACTTTGTTTTCGAAAACCTGTAATAGGGCTTCATCTCTTTTAGTTGTGCTCTAAGTTTGAGAGCCATAAAACAAGACTGGTTTTATCAACATTTTATATATTTTGGGAGACGGACTTTTCTTCAAAAATGACCTTGGCTCCCAGGTCGACCCAGCCTTGAGCGGGTACCTGGTGCAATCCCAGGAAGTAGAGGCGGCCGGCGTGATGCTGACCACATCACCCATCTTGTGCCGTTGGTCTATAAAAATATAGGTCTAGCCCTATATGCCCTATACGCCTAAAGGCGTGGAAAGGGTCCTTTACTTTTACTTTTACTTATATATTTTGATCTTGGTGTTGCACGACAGACACTTTTGCCAGTTTAACTCTTTGAGTCCCAGGGGGTTTAGCATCACAGGCCCAAGGGGTAGTCAAGAAAGATGTAAAATCGGCGCATCTTGCGTTCATTGGGCTTCTAGGTAGGAATCTATGAACGTATGACACGTTCCTTGGGACTCAAAGAGTTAAATGCTAAGTGAATATTGTTTTGCATGAATTATAATTTCCCTTGTAAATTGTAGAACAAATATTGGGTTGCTGAATTGTAAAAAATCTTTTGACATGCACATTTGTGTCAAACAAAAATGTGTATTCTCTCAAGTCTGTTATAATAAATCCCTGCCATTATAAATTAGAAAGAGACTTTTGTTTTTGTTATTTTGTTTGTATAGAACAGTGGCTCTTAACCTGCCTATTACCGCGACCCTTTAATACAGTTCTATATGCTGTGGCAACCCTCAAACAAATAATTATTTTCGTTACTACTTCATAACATTAATAAATATGTGCTTTCCAATGGTCTTAGCCGACCCCTGTGAAAGGGTCGTTCGACCCCCAAAAAGGATCACTACCCACTGGTTGAGAACCCCTGGTATAGAACATAGAACCAGCAGACTGGAGAGAAGGATATTGTGTGAAATGAAAAAAAAAAAGGTAGTCTGAGGGAGTGTGCAACTATGGAGGAATTATGTTGCTGTCAGTTTCTGGAAAAATAATCAGCAGGATTGTTTTGGAAAGAGTTAAAAAAAATGCCATTGATGAACATCTATGTGATGAACAGACAGGTTTTCATCCAGACAAATGCTGTACTGACCGGATAGCCACACTGCATATAATAATAGAGCAAAACAGCTGTACTGACTGGATAGCCACACTGCATATAATAATAGAGCAAAACAGCTGTACTGACCGGATAGCTACACTGCATATAATAATAGAGCAAAACAGCTGTACTGACCGGATAGCTACACTGCATATAATAATAGAGCAAAACAGCTGTACTGACCGGATAGCTACACTGCATATAATAATAGAGCAAAACAGCTGTACTGACCGGATAGCTACACTGCATATAATAATAGAGTAAAACAGCTGTACTGACCGGATAGCCACACTGCATATAATAATAGAGCAAAACATTTAATTGAATTCACAAATTTATACTGGATTCATAGACTGAAAAAGGCTTTGATATAATTGATAAGAATTGTGTTTGGAATTTGATAAGGCACTATAGCAATCTGCAGAAAATAACTAACATAGTAAAGGACCCTTTTCCACACATGTAGGCATATTGGGCATAGAGGGCTAGTCTTATGTTTTATAGATCAGTCGGCACTCGGGGGATGATGTGGTCAACATCTTGCTGGTCACCTTTACTTCCTAGGACTTTACCTACTACTCATTTATAGCTGGGTTGACCTGGAAGCCAAAATTAAGAAAAAAAAAAGGAAAGTATGGCTCTGTTTTTGATCTGAACCCACTACCTTTCTCTTTCTAAACTTTATCTCCCAGTGGCATATAGGCCAACCCATGCCAAGCCAGTCTATTCGTTGTTATCACATGCAACTGACCCCATGCCGCCCCATCTTCTTAACATACTTTCTAGTTTCCTTCTTTGTGATTTTTTTTATTGGTCTGCCTTTCCTTTTACTTGCACATTTTCCTGGTGGTATTATAAAAACTCCCTTTGCCTTTTCATCCCTGTCGCACAGTGCAAATTACTTCCCAGTTCAGTACATTGTGCTTCCTTTGCTTGACTTTTGAGTGTTGAGCTTCTCTTCTTCCCGTGTGGGTTCCAGGACCCCATTGTGGGGGAAAACAAGAATAGACCCACTGTCTCCCAAACAAGCATGTCGTAAGAGTCGACTGATTGGGGTTTTTTCTTCAAAGTCAGAGTGCATCTGCCTGAAAGGCATGGAACCAGCAGTCTGCATACCAATAAGTCAGATATATAAAATGGATGTGCTTGCAACACTCAGGTTCTGGAACTAGTCTAAAGTCCAGAGGTGGATGAACAACCAGAACTTTCCGCCAGAGATTACAGCGGGTGAACATGAAGAAGAAGAAAAATGTTTCTCTTTTTTTGGGTTCTCCCTGCCATTGGTTTTCAGCTGGGACGTCTGGTGTGATGCATGTCTTCCACTGTTTCATACAGCTTGGTTTATATTGGAGTTTTAACCTGCCAAAACCTGGGATCTCTCTACTGTATGTAGAATGCTATCTGTAGCAGATGTACAGTATTCATTGGTGCCCATCTCAATCCCTAGTCCTGAATTTCTTGTACATAAATAAACAGAGGAGAGGGGACCCTTGAGGCTGTATAGATATATTAAATGTAATAAACAGACAGACAATGTATCGATCGACACTCATGTGCACTAAGAACATGATCAGCTAGGCACTGTGTCTGGACTATGGTCTCGTTTTAGACATGAGTTTTGCATGCTCATCCATTTTACAGGTCTGGCTTATTTGTTTAAAGACCGTTTGTTCCTTGCCTTTCCGGCAGATGCACTCCAACTATGAAGAAAACGTCTCTGATTATTTGACTTTTATGACATGGTTGTTAGCGGGCAGTGATTCTATTCCCCTCCCCCCGACACCCACACCACACTGGGGCCCCATAATCCACACTGAGATTCATTTCAATGATGACCTTAATTGCACATAGACTATCCTTTAGTGCTCATCATATTCTTATCACACTGGGAGAAACACAGCTGAAAGCATAAACGTCTCAGCACTGGCAAGGATTCCAATTGTTTATACAGGATATCCCATAATTTTCAATCATTATCATCATGTAGCAGGTCCCGTGCAGAACGTCGCTTTCATCACAGTCTGCGTGAAAGAAACTCGGTCTCTCGCCAGTTCTCCTGCCTCATATACTTTCATACTCAAAGAGTCACTTATATCCTGTGCCCATCTTCATGTCGGTCGGCCCTTGCCCCTCCTTCCTGGTACCATGCCTTCTGCTATAGTTTTTTCCAATTCGTCGTGGCGCTTGATATGACCAAAATATTTCAGCTTCTGAAAAAGGATGCTGTTTATTAGCCAATCTTCCTTGATGTTCAGATCTTTTAAGATGTCAGTATTTCTCCTCTTCTTTGTCCAAGATATTCTGATATTCAATACATAGGAAAAATAAACATATCACCAGTACCATTACTAGCATTATTCCAGCAGTGCTTAACGTGTCTTCAGCAATATATATATATATGATTCACATCCAGATATTTTTTTCAAAACAGTGGTTGTAATGTAGAGCATATTATATAAGAAAACTAGTTTGATTAACACATTTTTAAAAAATGAAAGCACACTAAGATGAGTGTCACCTACTGCTGAAAAACATGTATAAGCACAGCTGAAGTCATGCTTGTAATGGCTTTGGTGATATTTTTATTTTTCCTATGTACGAAAATTTATGGGGCACCCTGTATACTGTATGCTGTAAAATTTTGTTATGAGCAAGTTGTTTTGAAATTTTATTGCGTTAGTGCCACATATTCTGCCATATACACTTTCTGATCCAGGGAGTTTTTTTGCGCGATATAGACAGAGACTTGCCATTTGATCTTTTGCAGTTATGGGAAGAGTGGTAGTATCATTTCACTGCTGTAGTCTGAGAAATTAGAATGTTTACAGTATTTGTCTATATTATGATTTCATTAAGACAATTTTGTATTGTTTGTTGCCAGAAATTTCTGGAAATGGAAGACAATATTGAAGGTGTAAGGAAGGAACTAGAAGACAAAGTGGAGACACTGGAATCTATTCTACGAATGTCAGAAATTAAATCAAAAAATGCAGCAGATCATGGTAATGTTTGACTGATGTGTTGTTACTTGTACAAATGAGAACATTTAATATTGACCTCTTGTATGTTGTCTGAATATTTACATTAAAATAATGTTAGTGGTACAGTGGTACCTCAGTATATATATATTTAATCAATACCAGATCCTTGGACATATACCAAACAGGATGTAACCCAAACAAATTTTCCCATAAGAAATGATGGGAGAATGATTCATCTGTTTCTGTGGAAAAGAAATCATTTTCTTATTGGCATATTATACATTGATCTGGTTGTATAAAATAATTAACATATTGCCTAATTCTAGAATAAGCAATTACATGAAATAAGTGAAAAATGAGCCTCACTTTACCATCTGAGAATAGTCGAGTGCCTACTAGGATGGTACTGGAATGGAGATTTATTGTTTTGAAGGAAAGTCCCCTCGCAATAAAACTTAAGAAATCTAAAATTCTTATGTTTTTTTTTTCACTTTCATTTTTCGGTCTCTTTTCCCTACTTGGACCTGGTTGAGGTTCAACAAGTTACACTTTTACTACAACGAACTGTGCTTCAGCCTTCTCCAAAAGATGTTTCATAAGTGTAACATTGTCTGGTCAGTCCAGACAATGCTGATATGGCTTGTTTGGGTTATGTGGAGGTGGTACTTCTCTGCAAAGTCATTGACATTTATCTGTGGATTTAGGTAAACAAGGATAGCACGTGGTGTTGTGACATATTTAGACTCATACAAGTTCTGTCTGGTGAATGAGCGCATATTGCAAACAAACGTTGTATACAACACAGAATTCTTCACATCACAAATGGAAAGTATACCAAGTTGAATGTATAGCAAAGTGAAGGTATACCAAGGTATAGCTGTATTTGCTACTTGGTAGGAAAGATGATTTAATTGCCACATTAAAAATTTTTTTTATTTGATTTCTTTATTTTTATTTCTGACTAAATTGTAAATGTGTACATAATACAGTATTAGGCCACAACACTGGAAGGCTCTTTATTTATATTTCTCACTAAATTGTAAATGTATACATACACAATATGGGCCACAGCACTGGAAGCCACGGATTCGTGGGCTCTAACTAGAAACAATTAAAATATCTTGAGCCCTGTGTAATTTAAACTCTGGATGAGTCCATTTTCAAGTTGCCCCCTTAACAGTCAAATTATCCCCACATTGGGAAACACTGGATTAGAGGATTAAAATTCATGCCTTCTATGTGACACTTTTTCGTCTTTCCAGACGATAGTAGTACCTTGCCAGGAAGGCTAACTGGGGCAGCAAAATGCCTGCAGAAATTTGATCTGTCGGCTGAAAGGCACAGATATTGCCGTCATGTTGTGAACAGGCACAACACATTTACATCTTCAGATGACCAAATAAAAAGTATTACATAATTTCTGATACATAAATTAGCAAAAATTATTTAAAATAATATGCTGTCTTAGTTTGGTTTCACTGTGAGACATTTTGGTCTGTTGTTGAGAATAATAGAAGGCAGAATCCAGCGGAAAAGATTGGAAAACTTTTAAAATAACAACACGCATGCCCGCCAGCCACGCACGCACACACACCCAGTTTTTTTTTAACGCTGGACAATTTTTTCCCCTTTTTATTTTAGTGAGCCGTCTAGAAGAAAAAGAACAAGAAGGCAAGAATGAATACAACAAGCTGCACGAAAGGTACACAGAGGTAAGGATAGTGCTTCACTACATTTTCTGCTACTTCATCTTCTTCTTTGTGTTCACCGACTATAAACTCTGGGATAAAAAAGAGGGCGTGGCAGTGGTGGTTGTGTTTTTGTTGTTATCCATTTCTGGACTTTGGTCATATTTGTTAAGGAGGCGGAGTGTCTATTCCACCCCCTCCCCCAGAATTGATTTGGCCCCAGAAACAGTGGGGAAAATGACGCCATTCAACAACAAACCCATGACCTTCAGAGATGAAGCCTACGGTTAAGCTACTCGGCAATAAAGATCCCTTGAACAGAGGAATATTTTTGTGTATGATCCTCGTCAAGTGCCTTGCTGGCGTGGGAGATCATGCCTCTCCACAGTCTGTGATCTTCAACTGCGTATATCAGTTTGCTTGCTGACATCTGTCCATGCCGTGATAAAAGGCTATCAAGAATCTTCTCTCATTGTCTTCCTCAGTCTCTTTTTCCACAGATCTTTCCAGTGGTCACAACATGTTCCAGTTTCCTTCTTCTCATAACATGACCGAAAAATGATGACTATCTCTTTCTGAAGTATGTGATCAGTTGTCTTCGAGCCCTCACCTCTTTCAAAACATCTGGGTTGCTCTTTATGGCTGTCCAAGAAATTCTAATGATTCATTTGTAAAACCACATCTCTGAGGCCCCAAGAAATTCTAATGATTCCTTTGTAAAACCACATCTCTGAGGCCCCAAGAAATTCTAATGATTCCTTTGTAAAACCACATCTCTGAGGCCCCAAGAAATTGTTTGGCTTGTTTATTTTATCGTTGTCGTCTTTGATTCTTCTGTCAGAAAACATATATCAGAAGGCTTGTAGCCTTTGTGAAAGCTATCATGCAGTCCATATCTCCCCATGTACCATACTGCTTTGTGCAGTCCATATCTCCCCATGTACCAGCTTTGTGCAGTCCATATCTCCCCATGTACCATACTGCTTTGTGCAGTCCATATCGTCCCATGTACCATACTGCTTTGTGCAGTCTATATCTCCCCATGTACCATACTGCTTTGTGCAGTCCATATCTCCCCATGTACCATACTGCTTTGTGCAGTCTATATCTCCCCATGTACCATACTGCTTTGTGCAGTCCATATCTCTTCATGTACCATACTGCTTTGTGCAGTCCATATCTCCCCATGTACCATACTGCTTTGTGCAGTCCATATCTCTTCATGTACCAAACTGCTTTGTGCAGTCCATATCTCCCCATGTACCATACTGCTTTGTGCAGTCCATATCTCCCCATGTACCATACTGCTTTGTGCAGTCCATATCTCCCCATGTACCATACTGCTTTGTGCAGTCCATATCTCTCCATGTACCATACTGCTTTGTGCAGTCCATATCTCCTCATGTACCATACTGCTTTGTGCAGTCCATATCTCTTCATGTACCAAACTGCTTTGTGCAGTCCATATCTCCCCATGTACCATACTGCTTTGTGCAGTCTATATCTCCCCATGTACCATACTGCTTTGTGCAGTCCATATCTCCCCAGGTACCATACTGCTTTGTGCACTCCATATCTCCCCATGTACCATACTGCTTTGTGCAGTCTATATCTCCCCATGTACCATACTGCTTTGTGCAGTCCATATCTTCCCATGTACCAAACTGCTTTGTGCAGTCCATATCTCCCCATGTACCATACTGCTTTGTGCACTCCATATCTCCCCATGTACCATACTGCTTTGTGCAGTCTATATCTTCCCATGTACCATACTGCTTTGTGCAGTCCATATCTTCCCATGTACCAAACTGCTTTGTGCAGTCCATATCTTCCCATGTACCATACTGCTTTGTGCAGTCCATATCTTCCCATGTACCAAACTGCTTTGTGCACTCCATATCTCCCCATGTACCATACTGCTTTGTGCAGTTTATATCTCCCCATGTACCATACTGCTTTGTGCAGTCCATATCTCCCCATGTACCATACTGCTTTGTGCAGTCTATATCTCCCCATGTACCATACTGCTTTGTGCACTCCATATCTCCCCATGTACCATACTGCTTTGTGCAGTCTATATCTCCCCATGTACCATACTGCTTTGTGCAGTCCATATCTCCCCATGTACCATACTGCTTTGTGCAGTCCATATCTTCCCATGTACCATACTGCTTTGTGCAGTTTATATCTCCCCATGTACCATATTGCTTTGTGCAGTCCATATCTCCCCATGTACCATACTGCTTTGTGCAGTCTATATCTCCCCATGTACCATACTGCTTTGTGCAGTTTATATCTCCCCATATACCATACTGCTTTGTGCAGTCCATATCTTCCCATGTACCATACTGCTTTGTGCAGTTTATATCTCCCCATGTACCATACTGCTTTGTGCAGTCCATATCTCCCCATGTACCATACTGCTTTGTGCAGTCTATATCTCCCCATGTACCATACTGCTTTGTGCAGTTTATATCTCCCCATATACCATACTGCTTTGTGCAGTCCATATCTTCCCATGTACCATACTGCTTTGTGCAGTTTATATCTCCCCATGTACCATACTGCTTTGTGCAGTCCATATCTCCCCATGTACCAAACTGCTTTGTGCAGTCCATATCTCCCCATGTACCATACTGCTTTGTGCAGTCTATATCTCCCCATGTACCATACTGCTTTGTGCAGTCCATATCTCCCCATGTACCATACTGCTTTGTGCAGTCCATATCTCCCCATGTACCATACTGCTTTGTGCAGTCCATATCTCCCCATGTACCATACTGCTTTGTGCAGTCCATATCTCCCCATGTACCATACTGCTTTGTGCAGTCCATATCTTCCCATGTACCATACTGCTTTGTGCAGTCCATATCTCCCCATGTACCATACTGCTTTGTCGTCATTGTGGTTGGAAGAGGGCAGATTGTGTCTCCATTGGCAGCATTTAGTTGACTTTTAATTTATGAATGCGGAGACCATGGCTTAGGCGCTGCGAGTCCGACTCGTAATTTCAACGTACCGCGATCGAAACTCACTGCTGGCTGTATGGATTTTTATCATGGTATGGACGTCGCAGGTCAACCCAGCCTAAAATGGGTACCAGGATGTATGTCCTGGGGAAGTAAAGACGGCCGCGCGTAATGCTGACCACATTACCCACCTAGTGCCGATTGGTCTGTAAAAATATGTTTGCTCTTTCCATATTCCCAATGCGCCTAATGGCATGTAAAGGAATCTTTACTTTTATTTTTTAATTTATGAATATTACTTAGTTTAATTTGTCTTTTACAGGACATTCATTTAATTAGAAAATATTTTAAAGGCATTACGTTTAATTCCACATCTTAAAAAACTCTCCACAGCTGTTCAGAACACACATGGACTACATGGAACGGACGAAAATTCTCATGGGAACAGACAAGTTGTCCGACCTCACTGGCATGAGTCCTAGAATCACGTATGTACTTGCTTCACTCTTTCAGTTACAGGTTAATTCATACCTAAACACCACAGTTTTTGAGCAGTGTTCTTCAAACGGTGGGCCGTGGAGAAGTCCAGGTGGGCTGCCAGAAATATCTGCCTAATTATGAAATGGTTACCGTATGTAGTTTGTCTCTTCTAGCCAGCACTGCAGCCCGTAGAATTAACATCTCAAATATGAGTCAGAAGTGTAGAATTAACATCTCAAATGTGAGAGTTAAAAGTTTAGAATTAACATCTCAAATATGAGAGTTAAAAGTGTAGAATTAACATCTCAAATATGAGTCAGAAGTGTAGAATTAACATCTCAAATGTGAGAGTTAAAAGTTTAGAATTAACATCTCAAATGTGAGAGTTAAAAGTGTAGAATTAACATCTCAAATGTGAGTCAGAAGTGTAGAATTAACATCTCAAATGTGAGTCAGAAGTGTAGAATTAACATCTCAAATGTGAGAGTTAAAAGTGTAGAATTAACATCTCAAATGTGAGAGTTAAAAGTGTAGAATTAACATCTCAAATATGAGTCAGAAGTGTAGAATTAACATCTCAAATGTGAGAGTTAAAAGTTTAGAATTAACATCTCAAATGTGAGAGTTAAAAGTGTAGAATTAACATCTCAAATGTGAGTCAGAAGTGTAGAATTAACATCTCAAATATGAGTCAGAAGTGTAGAATTAACATCTCAAATGTGAGAGTTAAAAGTTTAGAATTAACATCTCAAATGTGAGAGTTAAAAGTGTAGAATTAACATCTCAAATGTGAGAGTCAAAAGTGTAGAATTAACATCTCAAATGTGAGAGTTAAAAGTGTAGAATTAACATCTCAAATGTGAGAGTTAAAAGTGTAGAATTAACATCTCAAATGTGAGAGTCAAAAGTGTAGAATTAACATCTCAAATGTGAGAGTCAAAAGTGTAGAATTAACATCTCAAATGTAAGAGTCAAAAGATGTCACAAATGCTGAAAACTGTAATTGTGAGACATTATATTTAACAGATAACTGCTGCCCAGATTTTGCTCTTGTTTCTGTGTTTGATCAGCTGTCAGGTGGACAGCAAAACAATGTTCCTGGTTTTGGTGGGTGTAAAAAGATTAAGGAACACTGCTTTGGAGTAACTGGCCTTGAATCTCAAGGGGTTGAAATATTCTGTCTGTGGCGACAGAATGAGTTAAAGTGTTATGAAATTGCTTTTGCCTGTTATTCCTAGATTTTTTTTTTTTTTTAAACAGGAAAGGGGGATTCAGCCTGCCTGGTTTACGACCAGTTAGTGTAGCCTATGGTGGTGTGATGGAGTTCCAAAGACATGAGAGTAGCCCAATGAGCTTTGATACGGGTACACCACAGAGCAGCCACAGTGTCAGCCTGAAAAGTGAGCTGGAGGCCCAGACACCCAAGAAGGCAGAGCTCAACGATGAGAAGGAGCAACTCAATGACAGTGTAAATATGTCTGAAAAGGCAACAGCTACAAGTGAGTTGTTTGTTTTAAATTATACTGGGCTATATTTTCTAGACAGGTCAACCATTAGATAAAGATGTTTAGTATAGAGAATTGTAGTGAGTTACTTTATAGAATCGAGTTATTTGATATACTGCACAATTTGTTCTGGGCATAGCTCAACTATTAGATGAAGATTCTATAGTATGAAAAATTTAGGGGTTTACTTAATAGAATCCAAACAATGATTTTATATTATACTACACCAAACTGCCGCCCCCAGAGAGCCACGATCTTTTCACAGGGGCGTTGCGAAATATTAGAAGATACATGAGTTTTATTTTTTTTTAAATCTCTTACATATGAATAGTCATACTTTTACTTTGGTTAGGGCGCCGTGGGAAAATGTTAATTGAAAAAAGGCGCGCGACTAAATGTTTAGGAAACACTGTACTACACTATATTTTTCTAGACATGAACTACGAGATGGAGATCTACAGTATGAAGACCTATAGTTTCTTTTAGGTGTCCAAATATGTGTTTTAAACTATACTGCATTATGTATATATAGACAGTTAGTTGAAGCTGGGATAAACCATGTCAAATGGCTTTGTGGCCTGGAGAACAACAGTGATGAAGGGTACAGTTTCTGGAACAAGAAGCTGAAGCTGCTCTCCTCGAAGATGGATACAAGAAGTAAAAGGTGGATTGACTGTGAAAGCATAAAGGGCTGGAGATTTGGCTAGAGACAGAGAAACTTTCTCAGATGCAACATGAAGAGCGCCATGCTCTGTAAGGAACCTGCTGATTAACGAATAAGCACTTGTTGTTATGTATAATACATAACTGTTAATTATAACCATATATTAAAATGCAACACCAAGCCACAATTGGAAGCAAGGAGGAAATAGTTGCATTTCTGAGAGAAACAACACTTATCTTGAATTTGTATTCGTTGGATAAACAGCATAGTATTTCTGAAAAACCAAAGCTGAAAGGGAACTCGCTTGCATTCTTCGAATAAACAGTATTTCCATAGAAGCAAATATTTGAAAGCACGTCTGATGTTACTTGAGGCAGCTAAGGAATTATTCTGGTAAAAATTATTTATGTCAATGATAAATTTACATTAACAATACAATATATTTCTGTAATATTATAGTGATATTGAATTGAAAGTAGTTTCCCCCTGAACTATTAAATTGATAACATGTAGTTAGAGTATGATTATGATTTCTGACATATACCTTGTAGAAGTAGCAAATTCTGAGTTTGCATGTTAGAAAACATAGTGTAAATGTCAACTGCTTGGAAGAGTTATGTGCAGTTTGTTAACGATGACCTCATCTTATAACTTATGCGCAAGTGGATGCAGAATATGACAGTATGAAAAAAATCATAAATAATACGAGTGAGTGTCCACTTGTCTTTCACTCTTTGGCTTTGCACAAATACTGGAACTTCATAGTTTTCATAGGCCTATTTAAAATTGTGTTGATTAACTGTTTTAGTCCTTGATAACCACAGATATTGATCTTGAAAAAAAATATGAAAATAGTTTAGAGGCCTTCGATAATGGCATCCTGTTTTTCGGCTTCATTTTGAATGAAGTTTATTATTATAATGGCGTTTCTTAGAGAAGCAAGCAGATGACTCATGATAAAAAAAAAAATGATCACAAACATTACGCAAATACTCAACACACACACAAAAGGTGACATATATTTTCAGATTGAGTAATGAAGTTATATCTACTGCACAATATTTTTTGTTAACATTTTTTTTTTCTCAGAGTAATTTCTAAAGTAACGCACTTAGTGTCTGGCTCCCAATTTGTTGTAAAACGTTTCATGTATACCTTCATTGGTTTGTAAATTATAGCATTCGTCCTTTGAGCATGCTTCTCTATAAAATTCTTCCTTATAGTTTAGGGTGCAGTTTGCATTTTATAATTTGCATTGTTTTTAAAAAATAATTTTGAGTGCTGTTTGCATTAAACCTTTTGTTTCTGATCTGCGGAAGATGATATGCTGATTCCACAATGTTCTGTTTCACTCATTTCAAGTTTGATCATGGGTGGAGTGTTTTTAGTCTCTAGTTAGAGCTTTGTATGTTTAATGAACTAGGATACATGATGGTTTGAGGACAAATCAACAGCAGAATGATTGACAGTTGTTAGGGGACACAGTGAACAGGAGAATGATTGACAGTTGTTAGGGAACACAGAGAACAGCAGAATGATTGACAGTTATTAGGGAACACAGTGAACAGCAGAATGATTGACAGTTATTAGGGGACACAGTGAACAGCAGAATGATTGACAGTTATTAAGGAACACAGTGAACAGCAGAATGATTGACAGTTATTAGGGAACACAGCTAATAGTAGAATGATTGACAGTTTTTAGGGAACACAGCGAACAGCAGAATGATTGACAGTTTTTAGGGAACACAGTGAACAGCAGAATGATTGACAATTATTAGGGAACACAGTGAACAGCAAACTGATTGGAAATTCTTAGGGAACAATAAAAAAATTGATTTTAAATTAGAGCACACAAGAAAATTATAATGAATATTAATTATTAGGGAACACAGTAAACCACAGAACGGTTTAAAATTATTAAAAAACACAAAAGACTCCATAGTGATTTGAAATTCTTAGGAAACAATAAACTGAATGATTGAAAATGGAAATAACGTTAAAACTTTAAAGTGTAACTCGGTTATAAAACTATACAGTGCTAGCTTGCCTGATATTTGAGTGATTGCACAGGATTGAAGGAATAGACTGGGAGCCTTATGCGACATATAATGGTACAACAGCACAATAAGTGAATGAATGATTAAATGAAAGAATTAACAGCTTGTCTTTTTCAAATAATTGCATCTATCCCCTTATTATTTGTGTGTGTGCATTATTTTGATCACATAGTGTTCTGAGTGGATATTTTTAGTTGTAAGGTTTATTGAAAAAGATTTAACCATTTTGTTTTATTCACCTCATATATTTTAAGTTTCTTAAAATTATTTTCTTTTCTAAATTCTCTGCACTTGTGAAAGCAGTTTTTTTTTTTAAAGACTACCCCATAAATAGCTTTCTTTATGTTTTATATTATTTTTCTGACACCTCATTGCTGCTTTGATTCATTTCCTCCCGCACCCACCATTATCTGGATCACGTCTGCTGTTGCCTCCGTGTTCATGAACTCAGAGCAGCCCAAAGCCTTACCAACCCCCACCCTGACACCCCTTTCAGAAAGTAAACCTTCAAAGGCAAAGAGTAAAGACACACGAGTGCCAAGTGAATCCACAGTAGGCGGTAATAGTTCTAGTCAAAAAGTAGAGACGGCAGGATCTGCGGTGGAAGATTCCAATTTAGCTGCATCCCCTGCTGTGGTTCTGAGGAAGAAGAGAGAAAATTCAGAAGAGGATTATACATTTGACAGCAATTTGAGTTTTGAGGATTACAGTTTATCAGGTATGTCTTTCTAGCTTAAAAAACAGCGTAACAGTTGACAGCGTACAAATTTGCATGTTTGCGCTTCGATCAAACAGAATTGGTTATTCTTTTTGCTTATATTTATCCTGACTTTAAAGCAATGGAGAATGAAGGAAATGTAACATCTTAGCTATGAAAAGTATTATTTGTTTTCAGATAGCATGCAGTTAAATAGACAAATTAAAACAGAAAGTGAGATACAGCCGCTTGTTTTAGTTTTTAACTTGGCATTGAGGAAGGGACTTTGCCTCCCTATCTCACACATTATGGTCGAGAATGTGTCAAGCCCTATAACACTTCACAGCACAATGGCAGTGTCTGGTATGGGGCTGGCCTTTACATTTTATGTAGATTGAACGGAAGAATCAGCTTTATTCTCCTGAAACTTATGTGTTAATTCTTCGGTTACCTTCTTTTTTAAATCTCTAAGTCACAGTTGCGAGGATCAACTTCATTGCATCGAGTTTTATCCGGTATAGCTCGATCTCTTCTCTGCAGAAAAGCTAGCCTCCTGCCGAGAGCCAGGAACTCCATAGCTTTGGAGACAATTCTCGGGGATTTCCGTAAAAGTTGCAACAACAACAAAATTTGACCAAATGACCCCGCTAGAAAATAAACCTGTAGCGGAACTGGCAAACCCATCAGCTCATAACTGGCTATTGGTCTATATTTACCCTCCCATAGATTCATTTCCGTTCAGCCTTTCTGGCAAGACTTGATTCCTGTAGAGAACATCTGCATTTTGTGTGGTCAACCATTTCTTGGCAGGTTCTTGGGTCAAAACATCCAAAAATAAGAAAACTATTAGTTTTGACTTACTGGATATGTTTAATTGATTCATTTAAATATAACCTTGTTTTAAAAGCATCGTCATCATTATCCTACTTTGCAGTTTTACATCACAACCTAGTTTTTAAAGCTTTATTATCATTATCCTGGATGCTTTATTACTATCCTACCCCAAACAGGGAAAATCCACAGGTCACGGGACAGTCTAATACTTTAGGGGGTGGTAGATAGGCTGCATGCGGTCGTGGGACTTAGGCTGCACTCTCTCCTGGGATGTAGGTGGGTTGGGGTTAGGGCCAGTTCTAGATGTTTTGGGGACGTCAAAAGCGTCAGAAAGCCAGGAAACCCAGTCTTACCCCCCCTAAAATGTTGGACTGTCCTGTGACGTCATTTGGGGGTAGGATATTACGAAAGAACCTTATCCTGTTGTGCCATTATACATCAAATTGGCTGGCTGTTTATTCTTCCATTATTTTTCTAGACTGTGCAATATTTAATTAATGTTGATGAAGTCCAGTCCTGCACCTTTGACCTTTCTCAGCATTTGTCTTAGCGTTTCTGTTAGATGCCCTTGTTTCCTCACTCCATTTGTTTCCGGCTAAGTACATATCTGTCTATTCTCTGTCTGCTTCTTAGGATTTGCCCAGTGTATCACTAACTTCTTTGTCTTATAATTGTTGGTACCAGCGGATGTGAAACTATATTCTTCACTTTTCTTGGAGTCCTCAAATGTAATGGCCGTCAGTTTCCCTAGGTATTTTTTTTTTTTTTTTTTGGGGTGAATTCAGTTTTGTATTCCATGTTTTTAGTGGTTTTGAAAGCATGCAGGATGTATCTTTCTCTGCAGCCTCATCCGTTAGTGACTGGTCTTCTGTGTATTGGTGTTTGTTGTCTCTGGTGTTGTTTATTGCCTTGTTGATGTTTCCCGAGACTGGGGACTGAATAATTCACTTTTGCTTTGGGTTGCCACTTTACTAACTTCACCTTGTTGGCAATTTATTAATCACATTCACTTTGATATTGTCTTTAAACTGGAGATTTTATGTGTGTCATGTTATTTCCCTAAAAGTAGAAATGCAGTCATTAAAGACAGTTTTATAGAATTTATAGGTATGTAAGATGCATTAAAGCAGTGCATCCCTGAGGTGAAGCAGTGATATGGAAAGGGGGGGGGGGGAATCGGCTTTAAAAGAAAGCAAGGACAGATTGCAAATTGGCTGTTACAGTTAAAAATCCTTCAGTAAATGAAAACAATGTGTTTTTCATTAAAACCAGTATGTTGTTAGTTCACCACAAGGCATTTCATATACATGATTGAATGCAAATTTTTTTTTTTTTTTTTTTTTTTTTTGAAATTTTCTTTTATTTGAAACGTTTTTGCCGTAGTGAATTTTGTATTTAAATAATGCAGACACAGACTGTACATTGCATAATTTATTGCCTGGCATATTTTGCTGAATTGCATCAGGTGCATAACTGCAACAAATAATGAAACACAAAAGGATGAATTCTTTCCACTGAAACGTACGGCTCAAATCGTCTCTCTCGACACTTTGTTGGTCTTATTGCAGGAAGACTAGTGTATCAAAAGAGTCAGTCCCCCATGTGGGTTCCGAGCCCCATTGTGGGGAAAACAAGAATAAACCCACAGCCTCCCCAAAAGCATGTCGTAAGAGTCGACTAATTGGGGAGTTTCCTTTGAAGTCGGAGTGCATCTGCCGGAGAGGCAAGGAACCAACAGTCTGTATTCAAGAGAATGAGATCTGTAAAACTGATGCACACGCAACACTCAGGTTCTGGAGCAGGACTGCAGTTCAGTAGTGGACGATCAACCAGAACTTTCCGCCAGAGTGTACAGCTGGTGAACGCGAAGAAGAAGAAAAGAAGAGCCAGTGTGATTTTGTATTTTGAGTGGAACAAATTCAGTTTTTTTCTTCATTATATGTTAATATAACTCTCGTAATGCACTTGGCGAGATACAGCGAAATATGCCAGGCAGTAAATAACGCAACGTATTGCTTGTAGACGCATTATTTAAATAGTTTTTCAGATCTGATATCCATAGTGCTTTGACTGTTTATTTCACTTGTTTACATCTTAAACCAAAGCCATTTTTTTCTTGGGAGGAAGCAAATGTGTCTTGCATGAAATCTGCACAGACATAATATACTTTTGTTATATTTTTAAAATGCTAAAGACCTTACACAGGACTGCATTAGTTGTCAGTTTGAAAATTAGGCTGAATATTTTTGAAAATTATCAATCCCCTGGACAATATTTCAGGAAATTATTTACATTAAAATAAAAAAAATAATGTTTCCACTATAGCATACCTGGTAGAACAGAAAATTTTTATATTGAAATATAAAAGGAATTTATTTGTTTGAGCGTTAGAATAGATTATTTTTTTTATTTTTAGCGTTTACCGGCTGTAAAGTCTGGTGGAAAGTTATGGTTGTTCATTCACTTCTGGACTAGATATTTTGTTCCAGAACTTGATTTGATATCCATTTTGCAGACATGGCATTTTTGTGTGCAAACTGTTGGTTCCTTACTTCTCAAGTGTGTGCTTTGCAAAATCTCACCCTCCCCCCCTCTTTCTTTCTCTCTAACTTTTAAAATGTATGTCCAAATATATTTTATCACTGAGATTTCGTAATGCATGAAATCTACTCTTCTCCATGTGTGTTCCGGGTGTCACTCCCCCCCCCCCCTCCCCAGCACATATGTTGTAAAAGGGGGACCTAACTTGGGTGCGGGTGGAGGGGAGGGGGGGGGACATTAGTAAGTAACAGTCAAGGACTTCTGTATTAGACATATGATGCTAGAGAGAGCTGCATATAATAGCAAGGTATAGGATGACTTGACCTGGGTTGGTAAAGGGCTGATTGTCTCCATTGTGGGATAAGGGGGCAGAATAAGAATAATAAGATAATAAATTTCCAGTAGTTTCATACTGTTTTTATTACTACTGTCCTTACTTGGGTTCTGGGGCCTCATGTTATTTGAGGGGGGGGGGGGGGGGGGGAATAGATGCACTGCCCTTTTTTGTGATGTCGTAAAAGGCAACTAATTAAAATTTAGCATTCATTTCTTTGCCATTGTTTGCTGAAAGGTCATCTCTCGATACCTCTGTCGAAACTAATGCAAGATTGTCTGTTGCCAAACCACCTGCAGCTGAGATAGAACCCGGCGCCACAAAGCAACACCTAAGCCACAGATGCCTACTAATTTAAGAGTTTGTGTAAATTATTAAATGTGTTGGGCCGAAAGGCTCAGATATCTTTGCATAGCTGTAAACCACACCACATGCCAGCCACCCTTCTAAGGACAAACAGAAGAAGAAGAAGATGAAGAAAAAGAAGAATATTCCTACTATCTCTTACTTATTATCTTAGGTATGTGTGTCTTGGGATATTTTTTGTTTGGGTCATGCTTTATAAAACACCGAAGCATTTTGTTTTAATTGTTATACATTTTTAACATGCACTTTTATTTCTTCACTTGCTGCGGCCTTGTTATCTCCACCTGACCTGATTGGGGGTTCTGCTTGGTATTTTATTCTGGTAAGTTTACAGGGGAAAAAAAGTTTTTGTTTTTTAGCATTGTGTGTTTTCTGTCAGCAAACTTTTGATTTTTAAAACCTTCAATTTGTGACTTAAGTAAATGGATCATGGCAGAGAAAGACAAAGAAAGTGATGGAGAAACATCAAGGCTACACTACAGGCATTAGGAAAATACAGCTGACCTTACAGTATAACTTAGGCCTCCCATCCCTACACTTAATGTCAAGAGTGACTTAGGAAGAAACATCGGGGACTACTTACCAATTATCTTGACATAGAATAAGTGTAACCATTTTATTCATGACTCCCAAACAGCTTTCTCCTGTTGTGCTGTCCTAAACCTTGTAATCCAGCTTAATTCATATATTGATAAGGTTACTTTTTTGAATGCCATCCTGACTATAACACCTCTCACATGACATTTAGTAACTCATTTTAACATAGCCTGCCCTATTTATGATGTTGTTGAGTGAAAACCAGCTTTTCCTCCCCGCTGTCACCGTAAGATTTAGTGTCATCCAGTGTAGAATGAAGACGTTTACTATTTTGTTTAGCAGTTTATGATGGTGTTGAGTGAAAACCAGCTTCTTCTCCCTGCTGTCACAGTTAGATTTGGTAGATCCAGTGTAGAATGAAGACGTTAACTATTTTGTTTAGCAGTTTATGATGGTGTTGAGTGAAAACCAGCTTTTCTTTCCTGCTGTCACAGTTAGATTTGGTGTCATCCAGTGTAGAATGAAGACGTTAACTATTTTGTTTAGCAGTTTATGATGGTATTGAGTGAACACCAGCTTTTCCTCCCTGCTGTCACCGTTAGATTTGGTGTCATCCAGTGTAGAATGAAGACATTGACTATTTTGTTTAACATTTTGTTGAAAATCCAGAAAACATATAATATAAATGTTGCATCTGTAACTTTGTGTGCCTGGTTTCATTACCTGATGATTTGCCTTCACATCGAGTTGGATTTTAAAAGGAAAAAGCCTTGTCTCCCAGGTTAACCCAGCCTAAATTGGGTACCAGGTAAAGTCCTGGGAAGTAAAGGTATCCAGCACAATCCTGACTAAATCAGTCATCGAGTGCTGATTGGTCTATGACAGATGTGCAGAGGTGGAATAGTTTCACTGAAAGAAGCGAAGAGGGAACAGTTCCACTAAAGTAGACAAAGAAAGACCAGATTTACTGAAGGAAGCACAGATGGAGCAGTTTCACTAAAGTAAGCAAAGATGGAGCTGTTTCGGTGAAGGAAGCAAAGATGGAGCTGTTTCAGTGAAGGAAGCATAGAAGGAACCAATTACCAATTTCACTGAAAGAAGCAGCCCTATTCTAATGCTTTGAATCACAGCACAGCTTCTTTTGTTGTTACACTATATTTTGCCTCTCAATAACATCTGATGCAAGCACCAGTTAATTATAACTTTTTTGCAAATTCTGTTAGTCATTGTCCGTGTTTTTAAGCCACATAATGGAAAATGCTGATTGGTCTAAAAACATACATATAGCACTATAGGCAATATATCAGTGTCTCCCAACTTGAAGCCCGTGACCTACAAGGGGGCAATTTGATTATTAAGGGGGGCAATTCAAAAATAGATTCATCCGGAGTTTAAGTTATGTGGGGGAGGGGGGGGGGGGTATACGAATTTTAGAAAGGCTTAGGTGGCACAAAAAAGATTGAAAAACCCTGCAACTATATCCATTCACTTGCGGTGTGATTTTTTTTCAGGACTAAACCAAACTTTGGCTGCAATTATAGCAACAACACCAGAGCTGGAAGAATCTCATGACTTGCTTGGCTCACCTGGCAGTTTATGCAAGCGGAAGTCTGTGTAAGTTTATGTTTGTTGGTCTGTGTAAGTTTGCTTTTTTGTTGGTTTTTGTGAGTTTTGTCTGCGCAAGTTTGTGTGTTTATGTTGATCTGTGTAACATTGTCTGTGCAATTTTGTCTGTGTAAGTTTGTGTGTTAATGTTTGTTGGTCTGTACAAGTTTGTGTGTTAATGTATGTTGGTCTGTGTAAGTTAGTGTGTTAATGTTTGTTGGTCTGTGTAAGGGAGTTCGTTAATGTTTGTTGGTTTTTGTAAGTTTTGTCTGCGCAAGTTTGTGTGTTTATGTTGATCTGTGTAACATTGTCTGTGCAATTTTGTCTGTGTAAGTTTGTGTGTTTATGTTGATCTGTGTAACATTGTCTGTGCAATTTTGTCTGTGTAAGTTTGTTTGTTAATGTTTGTTGGTCTGTGTAAGTTTGTGTGTTAATGTTTGTTGGTCTGTGTAAGTTTTGTGTTAATGTATGTTGGTCTGTGTAAGTTTGTGTGTTAATGTTTGTTGGTCTGTGTAAGTTTGTGTGTTAATGTTTGTTGGTCTAAGTTTGTGTGTTAATGTTTGTTGGTCTGTGTAAGTTTGTGTGTTAATGTTTGTCGGTCTGTGTAAGTTTGTGTGTTAATGTTTGTTGGTCTGTGTAAGTTTGTGTGTTAATATTTGTTGGTCTGTCTAAGTTTGTGTGTTAATGTTTGTTGGTCTGCGTAGTATACCCTCTCTTTGAAAAGGGCCAGGAGAGCTCTGCAGCACAGTTCCTGTGGACAACACTGTCCCTATGTTTGTTCCAGGGCCTCATTTTGGTGGAATAGAAGAATTGACCTATTGCCCTCCAGCAAACATGTTGTAAAAGGTGACAAATTAGGGGCTTGCTGAAATTGGATGTGTTCGGCTGAGAGATGCAGTTATCACAGCCTAGCTGTAAACCACAGCATAGTGTGCTAGCTGCCATTTTAAGGGAGAAGACAAAAGAAGAATTCCATTGAATCATCTATAAGATTTCGACTTCGTCAACTTATGTTCAAACTTTTCTCGGTGTAGGAAACATGAAGACGTGTCCCTGCAGCGTGGCACCCAAAAATGCTGAGCGTGTGCTTGAACACTGTCAACTGTATGTTGACAACAGAGACGCAATCTGGCCGAATCCAACCACAATTAAGGCAAAGCTGACTGGTACACGAGAAGATGTGGACTGTACTACAGCTTTCATTAAGGCTACTGACCTCCCGATATATGAGTTTTCTGACAGAAGGATCGAAGAAGTTCAATAACATTAATTTAATTGATCAAATGTTTACAGTAGACTGCTATTTAAACAAATTTCTTTGTTTCTGTTTTCTGCAGACGCAATGATAATTCTATATTTGATGAACTACATACAGATATTGCTGAGGTAGATTTTGGTGCTGACATTACAGGTAAGGGTTTTTCACAGTTTTTTTTTAGTACACTTTGTTTTCTTTTTAAAGGTTTCTTTACTCTGGTTTCTTGTGAACAGTTTCTATCATTCTGTGATCAAAAAGGTTTTGTTAATTTTATTTTCTTAGTTTACAGTGTGTCTGGATTCTTATTTTTTTGGTTAGAAATTTGTAATGATCTTTTATGTGAAAAAAATCTCTCCTGTTTAAATTTTTTTTTTTTCTGTATCTTACGATAAATTGTGTTTATTCCGTTATTTTAAAAGTAAAAAAAGTAAAGTTCCCTTTTCACGCCTTTCGGCGCATCATGCACATGGGCAGAGCGTCCCATATTTTTACAGACCATCAGCACTCTGTGGGTAATGTGGTCAGCATTACGCAGGCTGTCTTTACTTTCCCAGGACAGCCCATCCTGGTACCCATTTTAGGCTGGGTCGACCTGCGACGTCCCATACCACGACAAAAATTCACGCAGCCTGCAGTTGGTTTTGATCGCGGCATGCTGGCTTATGAGTCGGACTCGCAACGCCTTAGCCACGGACGCCGCATTCCGTTATTTTGGGACAAGTTTATTCAGTTCTGTTGTTGTATTGTAATTTTTCTTTAATTCTGTTTGATTTGTTACACATTTCTTTCCTTCTGCTGTCCTGTAACTAGTTTCTCTGACTCTGTTCTGTATTTATACACTGTGTTCATTTAATGATTTTGTTTTATTTTTCTGTAATTACGTTTAAATTGTTACATTTGTTTTTTTCTGCTGACGTACCAATTTTTGAAACCAAATCGTATTGTGTGCATTTCTGCATGTAATTCTCCTCATTTATCCATAACCATTTTTGCCGTATGATTGCATTTTATCCATCGATCATAAAGTTCTGCTGCCCAGGTGCAAATAATGAAGTTATAAATATATCATGTGTCTATATGTGATATAAAAACATCAGCTGTTGATTCTGCATATTTGTTTTTGTTGAATCAGCTTGTTGAAACTGACGTCTTTACTAGTCAGCCAGTTATTGACAATGAAATATTTAACACGATCAGTCTATGTTCTAATGTTTGGTAAATGCTATTCCAAACATTTGACTGTTGTTGTCCATTTTGCTATTTCAAACCTTTGTTTCATCTTAACTCATCTTCGTCTTTTTATGCCTTGTGGTACCAAGGTGAATGAAGTCTTAAAAAAGGACAAGAGTAACCTCTTTGTGTGTTTCGGGGGGAGGGGGGGTCCCCTAGAACTCCCTTTTTTCTGTCCATATTTACATAGATGGCTTCTCTTTCAGTTTCCGCTTGGGCTGTTAATCATTGTATCTTGTGATTGCCACCTGTCTGTTTAATGGCTGAACCATTTCACTTGGTTTTTTTCTTTCTCGTTTTCTAATGATATCTAGCGCTGCTACCACCCTTACATTTGTCAGATTTCATCATTTCTAATCTTCTCTCTTTAATATATCAAGTGCTTTACTCAGGAATCTCAACTCATTTGTAATTCTTTTTTTCCTTTGTTGTTGGTTGGCTGAAACCTTGACCTGGTTGTTTGTCCATTTCTGGACTTGGGTTTTGCTCCAGGACCTGATTTTTGTGTGCGCATCCGTTTGACAGACCTTGCTTTTTTGTATGTACGCTGTTGATTCCTTGCCTCTTAGGCAGATGCACTCTGACTTCGAAGGAAGCTCCCAATTAGTGGACTCTTAAGACATGCTTGTTGGGGAGGCAGCGGGTCTATTCTTGTTTTCTCCCACAATGGGGCCGTGGAACCCACACGGGTTCATTACCTAAGTCTGATATTGTTACTTTACATTTCTAGCAATCATTCGGTTAATATTTAAACATACGCACACTTAATCTAAATCCCATATTACATTAGGACGGGCAGTAAACCCAGGAGACTATGCCTCTACAGGTAATGTCTATGTGTTCCACATCTGCTCTTTAGTTTTAGACCACCACCGGATGTTTGTATTACTATTTTATGTTGATTTGATGTTTACAGTGTATCTGTATTGCTTTTATTTTGGCCTTAGCTATTGAGTTTACATTTCATGAAAGGAACTAGTGCAGACTTTCTCTGTAAATGAAAGGGAAGTAAACAATGGAAGATATCTTTTGTGATAGAAAGTTCTAGAGAATTGCTTAGAGGAATCAATCAGTGCTTCACCTGAACAAAGATTTACATAAAGAGGACATTTTGAGGAAGTGAAGTGCTAATAGTTTTAAGTCATGCAATGAAAAATTAGAATGTCCTTACACCACGGATAAGCAAATTATGGCCCGTCGGCCAAAACTGGCCAGCCGAGCACTTTTTACTAGCTCCGGAGGCTGGTGTATAACTACTATATAATCTGGCCCATGAGCTTACAGAATAGCAGCCAAAACAAAACTTTGTTCGTACGCAGACACAAATCCAGATACAAACATGCAAAAACAAATTATAACGTAAACAGTGATAACTAAAAACTGATGCGCTAAATCTTTGATCCTGCTAGTGAAACACCTGTTTCTGACAAACTCGTACATATAGATACGGTGTTTATCGTTGGACTGATAATGAAATATAAGGCCACAATAATTTTTTCCTTTGAACAGTTGTAGGACTACAGTGGCATGGGTTCTCTCATATCCCAGTTGGTCAAGTCAGTAGTATTGACACACTAAGATGAAGACCAGTTTACACACACAAATATTTATTGCTGATCCATCAGTCATGTCGACTCCTTTACTGTCGTTGACTTGTCTAGGAAGTATTTCTCTACTGCTATGGCATCCGTGCTACAAAAAGCTAATCAGGTGATTTAGTCGATTTACCTTCTTTGGACTAGCAGCCGTCATTCACTCATGCTCGTCACTAGTACACAGCAAACGTTTTCTCTTGATTTCAGTTATCAGCAAGCTTCAATTGTCCGCTCTGTTATTCTTCTGCACTCGCTACATACTTGATTCCACTGTCAACTTTTCAGGTTCACTCAAATTTTCGCTCAGTCAAACCATCCGCTTCCTCTCGCTGTCTCTCACAGAATAACTGCCCCTTTTCTCACACTTTCTCTTTTTTAACTTTTCCTTACAAGATTTTCAACAATCATTCACTCATTTTATTCTTCGCTTAGGCACACTTTCCCACAAATTCTTTCCTATCTGACCTTCAAACTCTGACCCGTCCCATTGGGGAACCCCCCTTCTGACGTCATGTGATTTCCCACTCACTAGACAGAGCACTGCTGTTCTGATCTGGCAGCTTCTGCAGCAGGCTTTATTCCAGACATCTTGGTGTTACCTTTTCCTTTGGAAGAACATTAACGCAACAGCTCTAACAAGCTAACAGACTAAACTAATTTTCAAAATCATTAAGATGGATTCACTTTTTTCTTTTCCTTCTTTTGCTTCTCCTCCGTCTTTAAACGGTGTGTTGTCACTTTTAGCCCAACCTCCATTTTAACAAAACTCTAATTAGTCACTTGTTAGGGAAGCTACAAAAAAGTGTATAATGTAATTATTGTAATCATTTTTTAACTGGCACATTTTATTATGCAGTTATTGCAAACATTTAAACAACAACCCCAAAAAAAAAAGTAGAAAACGTTATTTTTTTAAATTAATTTTAGATTGGACAAATTTATTTGCTTTTGGAATTTTAAAATTAGAGTTTTATAAAATATAGGTTTAAACTTTTTAAAGTTCAGATTTATAATACACACTTTTAACAGTGTATTTATTTTAAATAGTGGACATGTAAACATTCCAGATTAGCAGTGTTTTTATAGCATCTTTTAAAATCTCTTATTAATTGTAAATTGTTCTAGCATGTCTGTGGTTCCACCTAATGCAGACTGCAAATATTTCAGTGTAATTTATCCTCTGAACTGTAGATTGTGTAAAGTATCTATAGAAGACTTCTTAAACTAAGAGTTCAAAAGTGTCTTTTGTATAAAACGCAAGCTGTGTAATTACTTATTTGATGTTAGTTAAGTTTTGTGCGTGGTCTTATGTTGAGCTTCGGATCCTCTATATGTGCATGGATATTAACTTCATATTCTTAAATGATTGTATTAATATGTGTCACAATCATCTATGTCATGGTCACCAGGATTGCATTGTGATTTGCCAGAATCATTTATAGTGTGCATGTGTGCACCAAGATTGCATAATGTATGATGCATAAGGCAAGCATGTTAATAAATTGCTAAGTATCTTAACTAGCTTAGCAAGCAAGCCTGCTAGCTTAGAAAATTAAAATCACTTCCTACTATAAGTTAGTTGCGTATCCTTTACAGGACGTTGCAGAACCAACTCCAGCATTTTTTTTTTACTGTTGTGGTTTTTCTAGGCACATTTTACATGCAGTAGTTTGCTATTACCTCTAAACGGTCAGCTCTCGGTACCACTGTAGAAACCAATGCAACACGAATTGTCCGCAGCTGGGATTGAATCTGGCACCCCGGCATTACAAAGTGCATTCGCAATGTCGGTTTTTGTGGACACATCAGAGAGAAAGGTGTTGGTATTAAAGGTTAATTATGGCTTCACCTCAAATAAAATCAGATTTTTTTTTAACACACTCTGCAGTTTCACTATCATAGCTCTTATATAGAAATTTTGGCTTCTCCCCAAAGACATCATCAAAAACCCGTAAAAGTAGGAGAACCGGCGGTTTCTGCGCGACAGGGATAAGAATTATTGTATATGAACAATTTTAGTGTGGTGTCATTCTAAAGTGATTTCCTTCTCATTGTCCTTTCTCTGTGTTGGACAGTCACACTTTTAACACTGCTTGTTACTATTCAAACCATTTGATTGGTTGTCTAAATTCAGTGTGAGTTTTGTGCAACAGGGATGTTGTCACAGTGCATTTCCTCTTATACTAAGTTTTGTTGTTGATTTGTCAGCTGTTGACAAACAGCTTTTGTCTTATTTGCAGCAGTTACTGTGATGGTGTTTCTTTCCCGTTTTCTAATTATTTTCCAGAAATATAACACTTCTTTTGCTCTTGTTGTATGACCCAAAGCTTTTAGATAATGTGTTGAGAATTTTCTTTGTTTTTTTACTTTTCTGGTTGATCTCAAAATAAACCTTCCTGGCTTATGATTAAAAAAAGTAATCATAAATAAAGAAGGGAGTAGATTAAGTTGATCGTACAAATAAAAGGAACATGAGCCCTTTGGTTTCTGACACTGCCCATGAGTCAGTGTCGTACCGGATACTTTCATGTTTCAGAAAATTTCTTGACTTGTAAGTCCAGGTCAGTTAGAAATAATCCTTGCACAGATAGGGATTTTATCACATAAATGATGGTCAGCAGCATTGTTTTTTAAAAGATAAAGAAATGGTCTCTGACCCCCCAAAAATAAAGGCAGCTTAGTTTACAGAATTTACAAAGCACTAGATATTAGGCAGGAGTTTTACAGTATTCAGAAAGCACTGGGACCTTATGCGGAGACCCGAGTTTGATCCTCGGTAAGGGATAGTGGTGACTTTTTCTTTCAGGGGCGAACTTACAAATCCTAACCTGCTCACTTCGTGGCAGCCTTAAATTCTCAGACTCACAGCTCCCCTTGTCCAGCACACATCCATCCCCCCCCCCCCCCCCCCTTCTTTGTTAGCTAGTTGCATATCCTCTACAGCAGTGGTTCTTAACCTGTGGGTGTCGACCCTTTTGGGGTCGAACGACTTTTTCACAGGGGTCCCCTAAGATTGCAGGAAAACACATATTTACTAAAGTTATGAAGCAGCAACTAAATTAATTTTACGGTTGTGGGGTCACCACATGAGGAACTGTATTAAAGGTTTTCGGTATTAGGAAGGTTGATAACCACTGCTCTACAGGATGCTGCAGAACCAACCTCAACAAGAAAGACAGTGACAGCCTTCTTGTTCAGTCACTGCGGTTTCATTTATTGCTTGTTCTCACCACAGCCTTGATGTTGTGATCTGTTGCATGTTGAATGTTGTTGTCATCTTGCAGATAGTGACAAGGAAGAGGAAGATGAAGCAGAGGAGAACAAGGACAATGATAGGGATTCTGGTAGGAGCAGCCATGGCTTGTGTTTGTGTTCCTGCATGTGTTTGTATGATGTACATGGATGTTGATATGTTAGCTTTTGGCATTGATCTTTGTTATGTTCTTATTTTATCAGAGGATAACTGGCTTGCTGTAAGTTATATTATTATTATTGTCCGTAGCATAGAGGAGTGTTTGATACAGTAGGTTACCTGTCTTTAGGTTTAATTGTCGTTATCATGATCCTCATCCTCATCATCATCATCACCATCATCACTAGTGTGATATTCAGCGAAAGTGGTTGCATAGAGGGGTGTTTGATACAATTGGTTATTTATCTTTGGGTTTAATCGTCGTCATCATTATCATCATCATTATCATCATCATTATCGTCATCATCAGTAGTCTGACTTTTAGTGAAAGTGGTTGCATAGAGGGGTATTTGATTGAAAGTGGTTGCATAGAGGGGTATTTGATTGAAAGTGGTTGCATAGAGGGGTATTTGATTGAAAGTGGTTGCATAGAGGGGTATTTGATTGAAAGTGGTTGCATGGAGGGGTATTTGACTGAAAGTGGTTGCATAGAGGGGTATTTGATTGAAAGTGGTTGCATAGAGGGGTATTTGATTGAAAGTGGTTGCATAGAGGGGTATTTGATACAGTACTTTTTTTATTTAACATTTTATAGTCATCATGGTTATAAACGTTATTTTCACTTAATGATTTCTCCATACAAGTTCCGGGGCATCATTGTGGGGGGAAACAAAAATAGACCCACCGCCCCCCCCCCCCCCCAAAAAAGCATGTTGTAAGAGTTGGTTAATTTAGGGCTTTCCTTCAGAGTCGGAGTGCATCTAACTGAGAGGCAAGGAACCAACAGTCTGCATACAAATAAGTCAGATCTGTAAAACGGATGTGCACGCAACACTTAAGTTCTGGAGCAAGGCTAAAGCCCAGAGATGGAGGAACAACCAGAACATTCCGCCGGAGTTAACAGGGGATGAACGCAAAGAAGAAGAAGGATTCATGATTGGAGACATAACCTACTAAATCTGCATGTATGTTTTGTTTAGAAATAACTCATTTACTTTTGTTGGTAATAATTAACAATTAACAAACAAGCCCAAACAATTTCTTGAGCCCTTGGAGATGTGGTTTTACAGAAGAATCCTTAGAATTCCTTGGACAGTCGAAAAGAGCAACCCAGATGTTTTGAAAGTGGTGTTGGCTCAAAGACAACTTATCACAACATCAGAAAGAGACGGTTATCATTTTTGGGTCATGTTATGAGAAGAAAGAAACTGGAAAATTTTGAGTAAAACTCTTGATGATGATGATGAATTTAATTATTATAAAAATTAAAAAAATTGTAAATAACTACTGAATTTAACAATCAAGTTATAAATACACATTCTAATCATGAATTCAAAACAAAAATAATACATATTTCAGCCATCAATTTCTAAAATATATGTTTAAGCCATCAATAAAATAAAATTACAAAATAAAGATCTTATTCAAATAAATGATACAAATTGATTTTAGCTCTTAGCTGAATATTTGAATAACAAGAACAAAAACAGTAGAATATGTGAACGTTATTTTGAACTATAACTTAACATAATGACTAACCAACATCATGTTATGTTTGTTTTTTCCCTCTTCATTCTATCTGCATACAATGGCATTGGTTTCTGTGTTCTTGCAAGCAGTTGGGGATAATTTCTTCGGTAAGATGAGTCAATGTTATTTTATCTTTTATCAGTATGCTTATGTTAAAACACATTATAATATAAATTTGAAAAGGTTAATGTTATGAAAAAACACACAGAGACTTGTTTTTGACAGATGAAGACGGTGTCTGTATGTGTGTGTGTACGTTTTTATGTAAATAGATTTGTTTAGAACAGTTAAGAAGCATTGTTTATACAAGATAGTGTAGTCGACTCTGTATAGAGGTAGCAACCATGTCCATTTTAACAGAAATTGCATTTTGTTTTCCTAGTTCTTCCATGTACTTTAAAAAGAATCTGTGCATGTTTTGTTTTGTTATGGGGCATTGCCGTATGTGCCCAGTGCTCAGATGCAGCTTCTTCTGTTCTCTACTCCTGGAATGCCTCAGGGTGTCAGAACAGGAAGGGATCTCTGGAACGGACCGTTTAAAAAAAATCTTATGCAGCAGCTACCCCCAAAAAGTACCTCTGGTGATTGTCCCCATGAATTTTTTTTTTAAATCAAATTATCTCCTATCAGTCCCAGCCTTAAATGGGTACCGGGTGCAGTCCCAGGAGGTAAAGGCGGCCGGCGTGATGCTCACTACATCACCTATCTTGTGCTGATTGGTCTATAAAAATATAGGTCTAGCCCTATACGCCCTATACGCCTAAAGGCGTGGAAAAGGGACCTTTACTTTTCTACTATCTCCTATCTTGACCTCATAGTCGGCACCAACGTCCTTCACCAGGCTTTGCTCTGAGAACATGCAGTCATGTTAGCGTCAGAGATTTGCTACAATCCAGCCAAAGTATTGGTGATATCTGCTCTGTCCTTTGTATCCTCCCGCATGCAGTGTTGCACTTGCCAGCTGCTCTGCTTATTTATTACCCTTCACTCTGGCATGTTATTTAAAGACTAAAGCTTCCTTAATTTATTTGTTTAATTTGTAATGTGTATTTTATCTCCTCAGCTAAACACATTTGGCTCCATGTTTTGCAGGTACATTTATAAGAATATATTAGAATTATTATTATTTATCATAATCTTTTGGTGCTTATTGTTGAAAAATGCTTTGTGTTTAATTAATTATATAAATTTTGTGTGTGGACAGGAATGGGCAAGGAACTTGATAATCTCATCATGGAAAACACAGAGCTGTTGGCCACTAAGTAAGTATCGATGTTGTTAACATAAGCTCCCGGTTAGCTGTCTTAAAACATCTTCAGCTGGATGAACCCTTTTGCCCCATAACCGTTTCGGAAAAACACCCCAAACCCTAGAATATCCTGGAAAAAAAATCATCCAAAAAAAAAAAAACCACTAATAAATATTTTAAAAAGTATTTCTATAGACATAAATGATTTGGGAAAAAGGGGGGGGGGGGGGGGGGGGGAGCTCAAAAGGGGGTAATCAGCAGACACAAACAGGGAATTATAAAAATTTTTTTTTTTTACTCGTCTACAGTCTCTTGGGCCTAAAAAAAATAAATCTCTAGTGACTCCAACTGTGGCATTGTAACTGGGATTACAAAAGGCTATGAGATATACATTATAATGACTTAACACTTAACCACAACCCACCCCCCCTCCCATCTTTACACCTGCCCCACTGCAGACTAATTTTAGTTTTTAAAAAAAATAAAGGACTCTTTTCCATGCCTTTCAGGCGTATTGGGTATATCGGGCTAGACCTATAGTTTATAGACCAAACGGCACTTGGCGGGTGATGATGTCAGCATCACGCCAGCTGCCTTTTTTTCCCAGGACTGTACCTGGTGCCTACTCAAGGCTGGGTCAAGACCGGCTCCATCTGACGGGCAGTGCTGCTGGCGTCACCAAACCCGGCTAACCATACATTAGTGTATCGTTAGCCCGGTTTGGTGACGTCAGCAGCGCGGCTCGTCAGATGGAGACGGTTGTGGCTGGGTCGACCTGGGAGCTAAAGTCATTTTTTAAAAAAGGTCTGTTCCCCGTCAGGAACCCAACCCACGCAAGCTATTTTTTTTTTTAGTAAATGTTATAGATACCTCCTGCACACTGCACAAGCACGAAAGGAACCAGTGCTGTTAACTAGGCTTGTTGGGGACTGGCCAGTGTTTTAATGGAAATTAAAACCATCTAAGATTTGTGATACCGGATTAGTGGCATCTCTGGGCCAAAAGGTTCAGAAGTGCTTCCAAACTGATGGCGAAAGACAGGAACATTGAAACAAACACTTAGTTTGGCTAGTCAAAGGCACATTGATTCAGAATGACCACAGCTGACTGAAACTGACAACTTTTTGCTATTTTTATCAATCTCAACATTGCATAAGTATTGTGTGTTTGTCGTTGAGTGTAATATATATATATATATATATATATATATATATATATATATATATATATATATATATATATATATATATATATATATATATATATATATATATATAAAGTAAAGGTTCTTTTTCCAGACCTTTAGGTGTATAGGGCATATAGGGCTAGACCTAAATTTTTATAGACCAGTCGGCACAAGATGGGTGATGTGGTCAGCATCACGCCGGCCACCTTTACTTTCCGGGACTGCACCTTTTACCCACTCAAACTAGGTCAACATGGGAGTCAAGGTCATTAAAAAAAAAAAAGTCCGGCTACGCCAGGGAACAAACCCATGACCTTCCGTCCGCACCCAAGGGTCTAGCCGCTATGCCGCGGTGACTTCCATATATATATATATATATATATATATATATATATAATTAACATATATATAAGTATTGCTGATATACTTTTTGTTCGGTTTTATATCTTTAGGAGAGAGAGAGTCTCCTACATTTATTTGTATTTGCTTGTTTTTCTGCAGAAATGCCCTCAACATTGTTAAGGATGATCTTATAGCCAAAGTTGATGAGCTTTCCAGGTATGGAGAGAGTTTAAATAGAATGTTCATTCTTAGTAAGTCAAGGTTTCATGGTCACTGCAGCAGGCCACCCCATAACTGCTTCGTGCCAATGCTAGCAGAAATCAGGCCAAATGTCCTTTACTGTCCCATTTGAAAACATTGACAAACTTGTCAGTCCTGGCAGAATCTTGAATTCAGCCAGCACATGCAAGGTAAAATTGCAGTCAGCTATCAGATGTGCCAACATTGCAGGTCCCACGCCAGACTTGCTGCTCACTGTTGGTACAAACGGTCAGTCATAATAGCTGATATTGAACCCAAAGAAGTACACGCCATTCTGAATGCAGTCGGCTACCTGCCATTTTAGTGCAGCCAACAACACGTAAAAAGCTTAACAGGAAAAAAAAAAAACACATTCCACATGAAATTTACAGCTGATGGTTTCATATCAAGCACTCAACTCAGTAGAAGGACGAATGATCTTTGAACTTCCTGTCCAGAAATGGGGAATTCACATTAGCAAAATCTAGCTTGAAACTAACTTTTCAGAGCAATAATGGTCAGCCTTTATCGGCCATTTGGCAGGAAGTCATATTCATTCTTGCAGTCTTCTAGTAAAGGACCTTTTTCCATTGCTTCTGGCATATAGGGCTAGACCTATATTTTGTAGACCAATCAGCACTTGGTGGGTGATGTGATCAGCATCACACCAGCTGCCTTTACTTCCGAGGACTTTACCTATACCTCTGCTTCTTTGTATGCAGTTTGTTGGTTGTTCGTCTCTCAGGCAGATGCGCTCTGACTCCAGAGAAAAAATTCCTTTTTAATCAGCCAGGTTCCCAGGAATCAACACGGGAAAGAGCCCAGTTTAATCCACATTTTATGTGTGCTGCGTGCATTTTCTGCGCTACAAGGATTTTGTTAGATGTCCCAGCCCCAGGACCATGTCAGTCACATACGTCATTAAAGTATTCAATAATCGCACTCAACCTCCCTCACCTGGATCTACACGCCTGGTCATGCTGGTGTAAAGGGTAATAAGCAAGCGGACCAACTGGCAAGCAGTGCACTAACGCATCTGGAAAGAAGCTTGCACAGAGCAGATATCAACGCTGTACAGACTGGCCTAGTGGATAGTGATGAATCTCTGACATTAACACGATTGCATGACATGGGAGTAAAGCATGGGGAAGCATGTCTATGCCACCTTCAAGACTGAGTCATGGGAACATTCAGTAGAATTATCTTGGAGTGGTTGCTGCATCAGAGGACTGAACACGCATGGGAATGCCCAACATGCAGTGATACCATAACATAACATACATCATGATCCAACCAAGGGATGTAATTATCGATCATGTCAAATATTATTAATGCGTTCGAGTGCATCCGCCTGAGAGGTCAAGTACCAACAGTCTGCATAGAAATAAGCCAGATCTGTAAAACAAATGTGCATGCTAAACTCAATTTATGGAACAAGACTAAAGTCTAGAAGTGGGCAAACAATCATAACTTTATGCCGGGTTGAAGCAAAAAAGAAGAAGAAGAAGAAAGTTAATACATTCTGCAGAAATATTGCCAATACATTTTATAGAAATATTGACAATATATTTTACAACCACAATTGTGGGTGCATTTTACAATAAATTTTGCCAATACCTTTATAATTAACATTGTAGGTACGTTTTGCAGTGAATATTGTTAATACATTGTATAGTAAACATTATAGATTCACTTAACATTATAAATTGCTCATGAATTTTACAAGATTCTTCTTCTTCTTACATTCCCCAACTGTAAACTGCGGCAGAAATTCTGGTTGTTTGTCCACTTTTGAATTTCCGTCTTGTTCCAGAACTGGAATTTTACAGATGTACTTTTTTTTTGTATAGACTATTTGTTGGTTCCTTGCCCCTTAGACACACGCACTCCCGCTTCCGAGGAAAAATCGCCAATTAGGCAACTCCTATAACATGCTTGATGGGGAGGCGGTCTGTTCCCCCCCCCCCCCCCCCCACCAAATGGAGTCCTGGAACCCAAACGATAAGCAGTGCTTATATATTTTACAGAAAATAGAGCAGAAATAATTTAAATTGAATGCCGCAGATAGATTTTACAGTGAGAATTACTCAGATTTTACACTGAGAATTACTTAGATTTTACAGTGAGAATTATTTAGATTTTACAGTGATAATTACTTAGATTTTACAGTGAGAATTACTAATAAGTGAAAATTAATAATAAATCTACAGTGAACAAGAGATCTTGCGCGAAGAGATTGCCAGCCTTCAAGCGGTTCGAACCAAACTTCAGCAGCGACTTGCTGCCATGGAGGAAGAGCTGAAGAGGGTGAAGGAGGAGAATGAGAAGAGGGACAAGGAGCAGACAGAGAAAGGAGAAGAAGAGGCAAGTAATCAGTGATATATGTTCATTTGTTGTTTTGTTTTGTTGTTTGGCAACTGAGAATATCATGTGCACTAACTCAGAAACCACATGTACACAAATTCAGAAACCACATGTACACAAATTCAGAAACCACATGTACACAAAGCCTGTGTACTCAGGTATTGAGACACCCTTTGTGATTCTGAGGTACCCGGTTTGACTCCAGCTACAGGCAGTTTGATAACAGACCGCTTTGCGTTGATTTGGACATTGGTATCAGCAGCTGACTGTTGAGTAAGCAGAGGCAAACTACTGAATATAATATTGCCTAGTAAAGCCACACAGCCAGAAAATCATTGAATTGGTCCTGTAACACGCTGTAAAGGATATGCAACTGACTTGACACAGAACTAAAGGTAGAGTCTACATCACTAGATACCTGAAGTCAAGAATGAAACTGCAGAAAATTATATCAAATACAGCTGAGAAGGGTCTAATCTTCAGCTTAATAAAACAGTCCTAGATGTGCCGGCTCTTCTTTTTAGCATCCGCCAGCTGTAAACTTCAACAGAACATTCTGGTTGTTCATCCAACTCTTTACTTTGGTCTTGTTTTGGAACCTGAGTTAAGCGTGCACATCCCTTTTACAAATCTGGCTTAGTTGTGTACAGACTGTTGCTTCCTCACCTCCAGGCAGATGCAATCCAGTTTCAAAGGTAAAAGATGTCAGGCTCTTGAGAAGCAATGTTTCCTGGGAAGAGTCTAAAGAATCAGTTTATACTGGGCACTTGTGTTGAAGCACAGTGGCATAAACTTCCTTCCCACAGTTTGCCTTGCTTATTCACATCCTTGTATTTTACTGTCCTACATTATCAGCATCGTTATCTTGTTGTTCTTCTGTCTGTCACATAGAGCTTGCAGTCTATTTTTCCTTTTTTTTCTGTCAGTGCAAATCATGGATAAAATCCAGTTCAGCACCTTTTGCCTCTCTCATCCGCTTCGTCTTAGGGTTTTGTGTGTGGATGTCCTCATCTCATAAGTCCATTGGTGTGCCATTTAAGTGCCTGTTTGGTGATACTGTCCTGCAGAGTACCAAGAATATAAATAATTACCAGATCTCAGTATCCATCTGTCTAGCACCTTCTCTCTTGGTTTATCCTTCTCTTACCCTCCATGTAAAGGCATATTTCAGTTAATCCCTTCTCATCATGTGTTTACAAGGTAAGATGTCTGTCTTTAGTTCTGGCACAGGTAAACTATTTCCTTTTCCCGAGACAGTATCTTTCAGCATGTCCTCACAACTGTCTGCTCAGCATTTTCTTAGGATTCTTCTATGAAACAACTCTAGAATCTCTGGCTACTAGTTTTTTGTAAAATATTTCTGTTCAAGTTGACTAAACAATACATTGTTTTTGAGTTGGTCATGTCTTACATTTCTTGGGATGCAAATGGTGGTGTACAAAGACCAGGGCTGCTTGACCATACTAGTACAGACCTGCCTACACCTCTCTGTGGTCATCCTAGACACAGGTCCTCTCTGTGGTCATCCTAGACACAGGATCTCTCTGTGCTCATCCTAGACACAGGTCCTCTCTGTGGCCATCCTAGACAGTCCTCTCTGCGGTCATCCTAGACACAGGTCCTCTCTGCGGTCATCCTAGACACAGATCCTTCCTGTGGCCATCCTAGACACAGGTTCTCTCTGTGGTCATCCTAGACACAGATCCTTCCTGTGGTCATCCTAGACACAGGTTCTCTCTGTGGTCATCCTAGACACAGATCCTTCCTGTGGCCATCCTAGACACAGATCCTTCCTGTGGTCATCCTAGACAGTCCTCTCTGTGGTCATCCTAGACACAGGTCCTCTCTGCGGTCATCCTAGACACAGATCCTTCCTGTGGTCATCCTAGACAGTTCTCTCTGCGGTCATCCTAAACACAGGTCCTCTTTGCAGTCATCCTAGACACAGATCCTTCCTGTGGCCATTGTGGCACAGCTGCCTCCTTTGCTGCCTATTTTGATGTTACACCCAGGTTCGTGTTTAAATTTGCCACAAGGGTAGCCGATGTTGATATTACAGACGAGAGTAAAGATGGTCGTGTCGATAATGGTTATGATGATGATAGTGTCTTGTTAGCCGCATGCTTCCCACTCAACTCGAAGACTTGTATACAGAATCGTCTAAAAACAACTGTTCTGGTCTGAAATCTTTATTGTGACACTTGAGCAATAACACAGACAGTATCGAAAGTATTTTTAATTAGCGACGGGTTTTCCCTATGGTTACATACTCTTAGTGTCTCAACTGCCACCAGGCTCCTAGTGCGGGTTGGTCTTGAGAGTTTTCATTTTTCCTTTTCAAATACGACAGGGAACTTCCGTGAAGTCTGGCCTATGTATAGTTTTATTTTATTGTGCTTCTGCTTCTTCTTCTTCCTCGATTGACCCCAACTCAGTATCTACTCCCAAATCTGGCTGGGCCCATGGTGGGTTAAAATAAATGTCAAATTGCCTTACTGTCAAACTGTGCACGCGCTCTCTTCCGTTTTCATATGTTAATACAATTGTTACGTCATGAACAGCTCCACGCCTCCTAACGTAGATTTTTATGGAGTATATCAGTTTCAGGTAGTTAACGAAAATGACTCTATTTATTTTCTTAACTATAATTTCTAATTAACCTGCCCTCAAGCCTGACTTCCTTTCCTGTTCTGCTGGCCGGCGCTTCTCTCCTCCTATGGGGTCCGGGCAGTCGCTTATATAGGTGCTACTAGCCTGGTCCCAGAACCTTCCAGCCACCTGTTTTGCAGAGTCTACCGCAACTTTAGCTAGCCGGGTCAGTGAAAGTATTCCAACAAAGTGAAAAACAACTTATTGTTTTTGTGCTGGACGGGAGAGTCACGAGATGTCTAGACAGATGGCTGGAAGTATCGTGGGAACCAAGGACAAGGACCTAGGTACTTTTAGTCGATCACTAAGCTTAGTGAAAAAGGTTCCGAAAACAATGGTGAAGGCCATGATGGACCTGTTGTGCAGACAGCACAACATTAAAACGCAGTATGGGTAGTGATCCTGTTAACACCATCCTAGACACAGGTTCTCATGTGGTCATCCTAGACACAGATCCTTCCTGTGGTCATCCTAGACACAGGTTCTCTCTGTGGTCATCCTAGACACAGATCCTTCCTGTGGCCATCCTAGACACAGGTCCTCTCTGTGGTCATCCTAGACACAGATCCTTCCTGTGGCCATCCTAGACACAGGTCCTCTCTGTGGTCATCCTAGACGCAGGTCCTCTCTGTGGTCATCCTAGACACAGATCCTTCCTGTGGCCATCCTAGACACAGGTCCTCTCTGTGGTCATCCTAGACGCAGGTCCTCTCTGTGGTCATCCTAGACACAGGACCTCTCTGCAGTCATCCTGGACACAGGTTTTCAGCCGGGGAAGGTGGCCACTGTAGATAGGATCAACCTATTTCCTTCAGAATTACTCTATCTAAAAGTTGAGGAACCAGCAGTCTATGCACAGATAGGCTGTGTATACAACACTTAAGTCCTGGAAAGAAGACCAAAGTCCGGAAGGGGACGAACAGCCAGACTTTCTGCAAGAGTTTACCGATGGTAAGTGTATAGAATTAGCAGAAAATATTGGGTCTCATGCTTCTGTTATGTCATTAGGTCTGACACGTCTGTTAGGAAGCTGCTATGTGCAGAGACTAGCATACTTACCTGCCACCCAGTGGTTACATGTTCAAATCCTTTTTAAGGTGGGAATTTGTGAGAAATTGATTTGCGTTCACAGGTCGACCCGTTGGGCGCTTTCTCTTCTGTTTGGGAACAAGGGACCATGTTTTAGGGAAACAGAATAGACCCATTGCCACCTCCCCCCATGAATGTAGTAAGAGGCAACTAATTAGAAGTGTTTCTTCAAAGTTGCACTAAGAGTTGAGAAAACAACATTCTGCCGATCTGTAAAACAGATGTGCATACAATTCAGGTTATGGAACAAGACCATATTCCAGAGGTGGATGAACAACCAGGACTTTCCTCCAGAGTTTACAGTTGTGAAATCAAAGAAGTAGTGGAGTGTCTTTTGATCTATCAAATATGGATCCGGCACCATATTATGATATCAGTTAGAATTTAAATTGTGGAAGAAAGTATTTTTTTACTTTAGTTTATTTCTGCTAGGAGGACGTTCCAATGGCTCAGCGCAAGCGTTTTACTCGAGTGGAGATGGCCAGAGTCCTCATGGAACGTAACCAGTACAAAGAAAGACTGATGGAGCTACAGGAAGCTGTCAGGTGGACAGAAATGATCAGAGCCTCAAGGGAACATCCTGGAGAATTACAGACAAAGAAGAAATCTAGCGTCTGGAACTTGTAAGTAGATCGTTTTTGTGTGTATTTTGTTTTGTTGGCTAGTGTTGGATTTTTCAGTGTGCTGGAAATTGATAAGCACTTTGGTGATTGTTATGTCTGGTAAACTGTATGTATGTCTAACCATTTTTTAATGCCTTAAGTTGCTATAAGTATATGGTGTGCATGTTTTACTTTTGTCTGTGTTACTTAATTTATGGTCAGTTACATGCTGACTTAGCAATATATCAATTTTGTTGTTGTTGCTAACTTGTTGCCAGCCACAAATTCAGTTAAGTACAAAATGTTTTAGTTTGTTAACCATTTGAACCCAAATTTCTCTGGGGTTTTTTCACCGTGTCATTTCACTAAAAGGTAATTTTTGGGAGCTGCCGGGGTTTTGTAACTTACACTAATCATGCATTTTTTTAAAAATCACTTTTTCACCACAAATAATAGCTCCACATTTGTTTGTGTGTGTGAGAGAAAGAGAGAGAGAGAGCCCAGTGTTCTAAACCATTTGGCCAGGCGCTCCTCATGGATTGTGTTTACAATATATATTTCCTAATTTTTATCGAAAAAGAATAAGGCTAGTCTTATAGTGGTGTGCAGAAAGGATAAGGGCTGAGCGTCTGAGAAGAAAGAGACCAAACACAAATGCTCACAACAGTGGTCTTGAAATCCCATGCTATAATTACGGCAGACTTTTCTCAACGCGGGCGGGCCCTACTAGTCACTTTCGTCATAGCCATGGGCTGTGAACCTCACGCCTCCTTGTAGTGCAATATTACACTATTGTCTGGAATGACGGAAAGGTGGCAATCCATAATGGTGTCTTAAATGTGGGGTAAAGATATAATAAGATAACTTCTCTTCTGTGAAGTTGTTAACTTCTCTTCTATGAAGTTGTGCCCTTTATGCCTAAGTGGAGTATAGGCTGTCAGCCAATTCATGTGGAGTCTTTTAATGTCGTATACAGCTCACCATATGTCCTGCCCATCATTTTCACTTCACTTTCTGTTTCGCTTGTCCATGTGTTTTTGGGGACTGCCTTTATTTATGTAACCCCGTGAGTTCCAATGCAGAGACATTTTATAGTTACACAGATCGACAGATAACTAGGCTGATAAATCAAAGTTGTTAGGAGTAGGAGTTATAATGTTTATATCTCAGGAAGTTTGGATTTAGGTATCAGAAGATCATGGTGAACTGGGTTCAAAGGGTTAAGAAGCATAATTAACGGCTTTGTGTTGTTGTGCAGGCTGTGACAAGACCTCCTGCTTGTAGTGTATATATTCACATGTTTTGCAGCAGCAGGGCCCAGTGCCACTTTTTGTTTTTGTTAGTCTGATTTGAACATGCTTACATGAGCTTCTTTGTTAACATTGCATGTTTTTAATCCCCATCAGTTTCAGTGAGTTAGTGGCACCGTCGCAAGCAGCGGAGACTCCCTCCACCCCCGTGCACAGGCAGATTGCAGAAAGGCATCATAATGTACTACAAGCTGTTATCACTCCTTCACATCATCACCTGCCATCACCATCAGATTACGATATCCCTTTGCCTGTGACATCTGTCTCTCTCTTACCCTCTCCTACTGCCAGGTCATTGTCTTCCCTGGCCCATGTCACTATTTTACCACCTCATGAGGCAGCCACCCTGTCAGGTTCAGAACCAGTTCCTATGCCAGTTGTCTTGCCAACTTCTCTTCTGAATTTACCGCCAACTCCATCGGGACAACCGCCACCAACCATCCTTCCAGTTCACTTACCTCTCAGCTTAAATACCACCACCCATACTCCAACATTGTCAGCTTTAGGCACCCTGCCAGCTTCTGTAATATCGCCTGCAGCTTCTGTTAACTCATCTGTGGCAGCAGCATCGACTGTGAATCTTGTCCACTCAAACCAGCCTTCTGTAGTCCCAAAGACCTCAACATTAAGTCATCGGCATTTATCTGCCCTTCCTGGAATTCAGATGGAGCCAGACCATCCAGTACAGCACTTATAATAGATTTTTATTTGAAAATTTTTTTGTATTCATCTGGAACCATATTTCTATATGAAAACTTTTCCTGGCATTCAACTGGTGCCAGATTTCTTTATGAAAACCTTTCTGGCACTCAGCTGCAACCATATTTATATAGGAACATTTTTATGGTACTTAGCTGGAGCTAGACCATCCAAATGTGAAAACTTTTCTGGCACTCAGCTGGAACCAAATTTTTATATGAAAACTTTTCTGGCACTCAGCTGGAGCCATATTTCTATATGAAAACTTTTCCTGCATGCAGCTGGAGCCAACCATCCAGTACAGCACTTATAATAGATTTATATCCCAGAGCTATATTTTTCTGTTCCATCTTCTTTAGTCCATGTCGTGTGGCGCTGGTAGTCGTGTCTATCCACAACCTTCTGATTGTGTACTTTCAAGTCTTATATTCCATGCCGCGTAGCATTGGTAGTCATATCTATCAACTTTCTGCTTGTGTACTGACTGTCTTATATTCCATGCTATGTGGCTTTGGTAGTCATGTCTGTCAACTTTCTGCTTGTGTACTGTCTGTCTTATATTCCATGCCATGTGGCTTTGGTAGTCATGTCTATCAACTTTCTGCTTGTGTACTGTCAAGTCTTATATTCCATGCCATGTGGCTTTGGTAGTCATGTCTATCAACTTTCTGCTTGTGTACTGTCTGTCTTATACACCATGCTATGAGGCTTTGGTAGTCATGTCTATCAACTTTCTGTTTGTGTACTGTCTGTCTTATACAGCCATGCCGTATAGCATTGGTAGTCATGTCTATCAACTTTCTGCTTGTGTACTGTCAAGTCTTATATTCCATGCCATGTGGCTTTGGTAGTCATGTCTGTCAACTTTCTGCTTGTGTACTGTCAAGTCTTATATTCCATGCCATGTGGCTTTGGTAGTCATGTCTATCAACTTTCTGCTTGTGTACTGTCAAGTCTTATATTCCATGCCATGTGGCTTTGGTAGTCATGTCTATCAACTTTCTGCTTGTGTACTGTCTGTCTTATACACCATGCTATGAGGCTTTGGTAGTCATGTCTATCAACTTTCTGTTTGTGTACTGTCTGTCTTATACAGCCATGCCGTATAGCATTGGTAGTCATGTCTATCAACTTTCTGCTTGTGTACAGTCTGTCTAATACATCTATGCCATGTAGCATTGTTAGTCATGTCTATCAACTTTCTGCTTGTGTACTGTCAAGTCTTATATTCCATGCCTTGTGGCTTTGGTAGTCATGTCTATCAACTTTCTGCTTGTGTACTGTCTGTCTTACACACCATGCTATGAGGCTTTGGTAGTCATGTCTATCAACTTTCTGTTTGTGTACTGTCTGTCTTATACAGCCATGCCGTATAGCATTGGTAGTCATGTCTATCAACTTTCTGCTTGTGTACAGTCTGTCTTATACATCTATGCCATGTAGCATTATTAGTCATGTCTATCAACTTCCTGCTTGTGTACTGTCAAGTCTTATATTCCATGACATGTGGCTTTGGTAGTCATGTCTATCAACTTTCTGCTTGTGTACTGACTGTCTTATATTCCATGCTATGAGGCTTTGGTAGTCATGTCTATCAACTTCCTGCTTGTGTACTGTCAAGTCTTATATTCCATGACATGTGGCTTTGGTAGTCATGTCTATCAACTTCCTGCTTGTGTACTGTCAAGTCTTATATTCCATGCTATGAGGCTTTGGTAGTCATGTCTATCAACTTTCTGCTTGTGTACTGACTGTCTTATATTCAATGCTATGTGGCTTTGTTAGTCATGTCTATCAACTTTCTGCTTGTGTACTGTGAAGTCTTATATTCCATGCCATGTGGCTTTGGTAGTCATGTCTATCAACTTTCTGCTTGTGTACTGTCTAGTCTTATATACCATGCTATGAGGCTTTGGTAGTCATGTCTTTCAACTTTCTGCTTGTGTACTGTCTAGTCTTATACATCCATGCTCTGTGGCTTTGGTAGTCATGTCTATCAACTTTCTGCTTGTGTACTGTCTAGTCTTATATACCATGCTATGAGGCTTTGGTAGTCATGTCTATCAACTTTCTGCTTGTGTACTGTCTAGTCTTATATACCATGCTATGAGGCATTGGTAGTCATGTCCATCCACAACCTTCTGTCTCATTTTCGATCACTTATGACACAGACAATCTTCCATGCCATGATATCAGACTGTCTAGCATCTTCTCTCTGTCTCCCTCTGCCTCTTTTCCTCTCCAACTTTTCCACTGTCACGATGTACTAGTTTTCTCCTTCTCATGACACGACAAAGAATGTAAATTGTCTCTTTCTGCTGTGGGCATTCATTACTCATTGTGTGTCATTTTCTTTCTGGACATCTTCATTATGTTTTTAAAAAAAAAATCTGTCCAGAGTATTTTTTAAATTTGTCTATAAAACCACATCTCTGTCACTTACAAGTAATTTTCGCCAAGCATCCATGCATAATTTATAGCTCAAGTGGCACTTAGTTATAGTGGGGGTCAGTGTAGGGTTGCCAAATTTTGTAAAATAAAATAAAAATAACTATCGTTGTTTGCCTATAACGATATTCTTCTACTAATAGGCTAAACAAATATTTTTTAAATCCAGAGCAATTTGGCAACCCTTGGTCAGTATCACTGTTGACCTCTGCTCCCTGTAACATTTCCAGATACTCATTTTAAGCGGGGTCAGGTAATAATAATAATTTAAAAATATGCCCTAGATATACCCATTTTAAACGGGAGGTCAGGTAATTAAAATTAAAAAAATCATGCCCTAGAGATTTGAACTTGTGTCATCTGGGCAGTTGAAATAATGGCTTTTACACAAGTAGTTTGACTGGTGCGGGGTCTGTCTTCGTCACAAATAAAGAAACAAGTGCTGTCATTGTTCCCTGGTACCTCCTCTTTCTTCTAGCTGCTCCTACTTTCTTCTTTTTGTATTCCCTGCCATGTGACAGCATTGATCTTTGCTTATGTATGTTCTGTCATGCATATGTTGTA